AACGCAGCACTAATAATTTTACACGTTGCCAACTTCAGCTCTTTTGCTAGTGTGTTAGCTGAACCTATTTACAAACACACCCATTGTAGAACAGACCTAAAGGCCAAATCACACTAGCCGTTGCCGATTGAATTGCGATTATTTTTCAACCAACCAAAGCAAGATAGCCACCGATTGAAATTAATGACTGCCGCTTGGAAAATGCTCTATTTTACAATCGTCAATCGCAATTCAATCGGCAATCGCTAGTGTAATTTGGCCCTAAGACTCGTGCCACACATACAAAAACGTAAGCAGTAAGCAAATTGACCGATCACTAGTCGACTATTCTCCTTCGGTCGAAGAATAATAGATTATTTTTGGTCAATTTGCTTAATGCTTATATTTTTCGGTGCGCCACGGACCTAACACGTCAGGGGCGTGAAAGCGTTTATCGACAAACGCTTATCGAACGCTGTTGATGTTCTTTCCTGATGTTACGCGCTTCGCAGCAGATGCGCGACTTCATCGGCATCTGCATCTTGTTTTTCCCGACTTGATATGTTCAATACGTTGATTGCCACGGGAAGGTCATCGACGCATCGACCGGCAGTGATCTTTCGCCGTGCTTCATTTATTTACGCGCACAGCACGACTCTAATTGCGTGCAACCAATTATATGATGAACACGACTAATAGAGAGTCGATGGAACGATTAGGGAATGTATTCACCGTGAATTGCACTTGATTACCATGCACGGAAAAAAGACTCGGTTCCTGAATCAACTGAATAGGGGGCCAAATGAAAATTCGGTGGCCAGAAATGAGATGTCTCGAGTATATTTTTGCGAATATTCAACTGCATTAAAACTCGATGAGGGCAACTGAGAGCGATTAACCGAGCAGAAACCTCCTACTTATTACTACTTAGAGAAGAATATAATAACAGGTCGAAAATACTTTAATCACAGATGATAATCACTAAGAGCCGTATTTTGAGCTCTTTTTTTATCGATAAAAGTGCTTCTAAAAGTAGGTTAGGAGCCACCTGACTGAGAAGCCACATTTAAGATGCTTTTATCGATAAAAGTGAGTTTAGAATGTAGATCTATATGCTTATCGAGCTTCTTTCTCCGTTGAACGTAGAGAAAGCCATTGGTGGTTCCAATTTTAGCTGAACGTTGAAACGATCAATAGAAATCAATGTGACGATTAATATGTAAGAGCACCGTTCTGTCCTATGAATTATCAGCTCAATTAAAAACACGGGAATCGCAACTCTCGGGAAAAAAGAAGAAGAGGGAAAGAGAATCTCGCGTCTATCCCGGACGAGGCGCGACATCGACGAGCTCTACTTCTCGAGTTTACGGCTAAACGCGGATACCACACCAGTTTCGCGCCGTCCCTCGGAGTGACGCGCTCAGTCGCGAGTGTTACCCATTGATATTCATATCGCGGTAAAAGGAAGACCCGCCACGCCGACGTTTTCCTCGCTCGGAAATGTCGCGATCGCGAAGAGAGGAAAGAAGGCATTCAGGGCGCGTTAGAGTGCGGTCGACGTAACACCGCAGCTCGGCTGGCAAGGAGTTAGTCGGAACATGGTATGGAGCGCGCAAATAGCTCGTCGGCGACTACTCCCCAGACTCCCAACCCGCGATGGGCGATCGGACCGAGAGAAAGAGAGAGAGAGAGAGAGAGAGAGAGACGAACGTACATACGTATACGTGCGACGAAGAAACGGACGGACGGACGGACGAGCAGACGAGCAGACCCGGGACGGAATATATTCTTGGCGCGTCGAGAGTCGCGTAGAACTCGCGGCGGAGGAAGTGCGCGTGTCCCTCGCGCGTGAAGGAAGCCGCCTTTTCGATGCGTATTATCGCGGCGCGGCCGCACGTCGCGACGGAGGCGGCGACGGCGACGACGGTGGCGGCGGCAGCATTAAGGACGGCGGTGGTGACAGTGGCTACGACGGCGAGGACGAAGAAAGCGACGGAGCTCGCGCGGGGATGACGAGTGCACTTGCGATATGGGCGATGACGTGACGCGATAGACGCGACGACGACGACGACGACGATCAACGGGGAGCAACGGAGTGCGACAAGCACGCGCGCGCACGATGGAGCTGAACTTTTGCGAGGAGACGACGGAGGACTCGAGCGATCGCACGTCTTCCGGGGAGGGGCCGTCGTCCGGACCCGGCGCCGGCCTCGAATACGACCTGTGGGAGGGCCAGTTCCAATTTGTGGGACAACATCAGCCGTCGTCACCGCAGCAGTGCGATCGACCGTCCACTCGTCGCCGCGGCTCCCGGCTCACCGAGCAAGTAAGAGGAGGCGACTCCGCTCGCCGCGGGAAATGCATCGCGGTGGAATTTTGCATTTTGACATTCGCTGACGTTTCTCTCTCTCTCTCTCTCTCTCTCTCTCTCTCTCTCTCTCTCTCTCTGTCTGTCTGTCTTTGTTCCTCCATCCCGCCCTGAAGATTAAAAATAAAAGTAAGTCGCGTGCTCGTCGTCGTCCCAACGAACGTGGGGGATCATCTTCGATCACGCCGATGCAGGATTTTCGCAAGAGAGCGAGCTAGAAGACTCTAAACACCCTAAGAAATGTGCTTGATCATAGTTTGTAGACGTTACGGAGCGATAAGGATTATACACTTTTTCGACGGAGGAACTCGGAGCGGTTGCTAATTTTTCCCGGCGGAAATTGATAAGCTTGCCGACGTCACTGAGTAACCCGTGCTTTCTTCTCGTCGGGGGTTGCGTTAATATAAGGTATGCGTCATCTTTGTGTAGAGAGGCTGATCGACTAGCTGAAACTGGCGGCGTATTTCGGCGCGTCTGTCAGAGCGGATGTGCCCGAGCCATCAAGAACGACCCAAGCCCGACTCGACGAGTCTCTTCTCGCCAAATGAATTGTAACACGAGACTGGCACAGTTAGTTCCTCCGACGATCGAGATGATAAAACACACCTCGGGGAATGTTTACTCGCCATATTTCGTGCGTCGAATCTACGGCTACAAGTTCCGATATTCATTAAAAAAACAACTCGGTTTCTGAAACTGAATAGAGACCAGATGAATACTCGGTGACGAGAAATGTTGTCTGTTATCGCGATCGAGAACATTCCGTGTGAACATTCCGGCATTAAAACTCGGTTGAGACAACCGAGAACCAATTGACTGAGACACCTCCTATAGAAATTTTCATGCTCCTACACGGGGAATTAATTGGTTGAATTAACGCAATGGACGAGGCAAACGCGTTTTTGTTGAAGGAAACAGAATATTTGATTCTAAGGACCAAATTTAGTCTCGAATTGAGTGCGAGTAATACTTGCATCAATACAAATTCAATCAAGTCAAGACTAAAAATCTCCTAAGAGGATTATAATATTCTTGCTTATTTACATGAGAATATCTATCACTGATCCAAGACTAATTTTTCCCCGTGCATATTATAGATTTCCAATACTATAGCCGAGCAAATACCGAAACGTAACCTTGATCGCATTAGATAGTATGCGCGAGCAGCGCATACGTGATTTATTCTAATTACTGGAAAACATCGCACCGGGAATACACGATGTCGTGTTAAGCGAAGTCGCGCGATATTGTATCTCCGTCCGGTTATATTCGAAAGCCATATCAATCTGCCGGCGTCTTTATCGCGCACGATATTCCTCGATAATTCGAGGCACCGGCTCTCAAGTGAGAGCGATAAAACCGCGGAGGTAGGTGCGGCGGCAAATTGAAAAGACGTGATACACACGCTCGCCTTGGGCAGATCAGCCGGAATGAAAATCGGCTGCAGGATTATCGTAGCGTGAGGGCCCGTCTCGATCCGACACAATAACTCGCGCCGCATTATTCGCAATTAAAGCACTTGTCCGTGACGCTCCGGCGAAATTATTCCCGTAGATTTATCAGCCAGAACGATCTCGCTTCGAATGCGACGTTAACATTGTGACGCCACCGCACACGTAGCTGCTGAATCACCAATTAATTCTTCATCGTTTATTCGCATTTGATTCTCGCCGGGAATAATAATTCCACACAGCTGCCCCCCTCACTCTTCCTTGTTACGCGAGACTCCCTGAAAAGCGACAGTTTTCAAAAACCTCTCTCAGTGGCAAAAGCTTCATACACGCGCTGTGTGCCATCGCGCATAGAATATTCATACGATATAATGTTATGTTATCTGTGGGAAGGCCGCGAGTCTAACAGTATATCCTGTTCACTCCCATTGATAGTCGTGGCGGCGTGGGCACGCGCGCAACAGCTACTCCTAAACGGCACACGGCGTTTCCTTCAATACACTTTCTCCGCGCAATTCTGCGCCCACGTAGCGGCAGCGCGCGCGCGTCATTCGCGCGTTTGCACTGATTGATGTGTGGGATTTATTTACATTCCCGAGACCAACGGCTTCGTGACCGGTCTTACGACCGACCAACACCTCGTGGATCTTGAAACTTCCCCGCCGCGACAGAATACACGGTAGGACGCGTGTAAGGATCACGTATGCTCATTTCTCCTGTCGTATAAAATAGACGTAGTTATTTTGGAAAATATGTAATAGAAATAAGAAGATATAAAAAGTATATATAGATAGATATTTTTTAAAATAGATGCATTTAACACGTTATAATACTTTAAGAAAAATACATTTTATATATATATATTCAGCTTTTAGCCAAGAAGGGGACTTCATCTATAATTTTGATTTTTATCACGCTCACTCTTATTAACGAATGCGTCCAATAAGTCGAACAAATATAAGATAACAATCTTAGAAACGGCGAGAATTGCGCAGAGGCGAGAATTTATCGGGCATGGTCGTTAACGTTGAAGAAGTGAACAACGATTTCGGTCTGATCTGACGTGAGATCAGTGAAAATGTAATCCGAATCGCGGAGAAACGTAGGGAAGACTCACTCTTGCGAAAAAGGAACGCGATGGATTATTACGCTCGCAGTGTTCTTTCACGAGTCGCTGAATATCTTTTTTTCGTGTGCCGCAGGTTCAAATGATCCAAGAGCAGATGCATGCCTTGGTGGACACTAAATCGGTCGGCGAGGAGAGGTACGCTCGAGCGAAGCAGGAGAACGCGACGTTGCAGGCGCGCATATTGATGCTCGAGGAAGCGGCCAAAGACGCGGAAACGAGAGCTGAGGAGAGGCTTCAAGTGAGTGTCCTGCGTCCGTTCCCTACGCGAAAAGTCGAATCGAATTACTTGCGTGTAAAAGCAAATATAAGCAGCAAAAGCTGGGAAATCGCCAGAATTTCTGTCCGTGTCGGCTTTAAACGCAAAATCGTGTTTGCAAAAAGGAACTTATGAGTCATGGGATATTTTTACAATTTACGTTCACGTTGAGAAGCCTGAATGACAAAATGGAAAGCGCGCTGCAACAAGACTAATTGCGACTACAACCTGGAAAAATTGCACATGGACAGACGGGATTTAGCTTCGAATTACACGCGCATCGGCAGCTTTTACTTCGGCCGGAGGAGAGAGAGGATACTTCAAGGACACTACTTTCTTTTCAATTTTTCGTTCGTCCACAGGCTGAGCAACGAAGGCATCGGGAATGGGCGTGCCGTTTGGAGCGCGAGCGCCAGTTACAACTGGAGAATTACGCGATCAAACTGCAAGCGGTGGAGTTGGACAGCTCGAGCCTGCGGGACGAAATCGCGCGGATTCGTGAGCAGCTGGAGAGAGCGCGGGCGGACAAAACGCGGCTTGAAAACGATCTCCAGGAAGCCAGGAGAGAAGCGGACACTGCGCGCGAAAGTGAACGCCACGCAGTGAGCCGAGCGAACGAAGCTCATCATCTGCTCGAAGCGATGAGAGAGGAACTTTCGTTGCACACCGAAGATCAGCAGAGGCTCGAGGAATTGGTGCAGCAGGTGGCTCAGCTTCAAGCTCGCAATAAGAGTACGTTCACCGTTTTCGTTGCGTGCCGACTTCAACCGATTAACGCGACTCTCTGCTCTGCCTTTTAGTTTTACAATATATAAACATGGTAGGGAGTTGGTAGCACCGAAAGTGTGCCCAAGTTACGTGCGAAAGAGAAAAGTATACAGAAATATGGGAGGAAAAGGATAGAGTATAAAAAAAACAATTGCCCTGTGTAAACTGTCATAAGTGACATTATATTATGGTATAGTAGATGTATTGTTCTGAGTCCCAGAGCAGTTCGGGCAAATTATTCTAGTTAACTATACAGTGGAAAGCGTCAAAACTATGGCTTGGCAACGATTTCGACATGTGCGCACTGAGGACAAATATTCCATGTATATATATATATATATATCTTTCTCTCGCACGCTACTTGGACACACTTGAAAACCGAAAAAATTCTTGGAAAATTTGAAAAATCCGGTTATCCCATAGTTTTCATTTATCCGCTGAAAGAAAAACCAAAAATAACCGCGAAAAATGGGAAAAATAAGCAAATTTTTTCCGAACCTTTAAAACCGTACTAATAAATAGGGAATATGTTAAAATAAACTTGAAAAACACGATAAAATTGAAGCAAATTTCCAATCTGAGAATGACATAAAAATTACATATTGCCTATAATGATAAATCAAGCAAGCTAACTTATTTTCTGTGATATACATTTCTCGATTACGTAACATTTCGTTCATCGATTCGTAGGTTTGGAAGAATCTCGGGACGAACTGCAGGCCGCAGCGGCGTTGCAGGCAGGTCGTGAACTTTTAATGTTGAACCCTTGCAATAATAGCGCCGAGAAGGGGCCTAGTCTCGCCGTGGAGCTGTTAGCCGGCATGAACCCAGATCAGGTACTTTATCTTTGCCATATTGTCAGGCCGATTCGAAAGTTCGATTTTCTGCGACGGTTCATTGATTAGTGGTGAATAGAGTATAACGAGTCACCTGCTAATTCATTTGTACCGGCAGATACCGACAATATTGCCGTCCGACTTTGGATACAGCGACTGTTGGCGGTCGCGGATAAGCAAATAATCAGCTAATTAACGACGACTTTCTAATCGCTTTTTACAGATAGATGGCCAAAGGTTCGAGGAATTCGGCGAACCGTGCACAATGGCTGAGGTATTTATCACAGGCGAAATCAAATTAAGAATAACTTTCATCAAACTCGGCGATTAACGAATAATAATAATAATAAGATAATTACCAACATCAAGTTTCAATTCTGTAACTGTCGTTCAATAATAATCGAAAAGTTAATATAATTTCTATATGCGTTATAACGAGATAGAGCAGATAATGTTTGAGAAACTGAAAACAGCAATTTTGAAACGTTAGTTAGATTAATCTGAGTTTGGCGAAAGTCACCCTAAATCACATCTCATAAGTTAGCGGAACAAAATGAGCAAAACCAATTCTAAGTAATATTTTTATTTGTCGCTCATTTGTTGCTAAAAAGAGGAAAACTTGCCGTTAGTTTTTTTAATGATATGCTAGAGAAAAATTAAGTTAGCAGAACAATTACATAAATGCAGCAACGAAATTCTACATAAAAAATAATATATAGAAATATATATATATATATGTTATTCTGCTAACTCTTTAATCTTTCTTTACACCATTTAAAAATAAGGCTGACGGAGCAAACAATTTTTTGGCAACTTTTCAATAACAAATGCGTAACAAATAAAAATATTGGAAATATTAGTTCTGCTCATTTTGTTTCGCTCACTTCATCCTGGATCAAACATCGTCCTAAAGACGTCTCTGAATCATCAAACAGAAAGTTAAACCGAAATCATATCGACAGCCGTGTGATCTCGAAGCAGCTCTGTGAATCTTTATGCGTTCACCGTGTTGCAGATGAAACAGGCACTGAAGGAACAGCAAGAGGTGAACACGCAGCTAAGGACGTACATCGACGGAATCCTGCTGAACATCGTGGAGAATTACCCCCAACTGTTGGAAGTGAAGCAAACGCACTGAAACATAGCGCATATAAAGAGCCTATTAGAACCTGGCTAGAATGTTATACTCGGACAGTCTCGAAGCGGGTTGTACGTTAAACTCTTCCCGTCGAGTCGACGTGAGAGATGGAAGAAGCTGCTTGGAATCACTCTCGACCGATACACAGTTATATTTTACATATAACGATGTCTTTTTTAGTGCGAAATTCTCTCAGTGCGAAAGAGAGCGCGTCGGGATCCATTTGCGGAGGGGGAATCAATTTTAACCACGAGCCGTCTGCCGCTACTTGATGAAATGACAAATTGACGCCTGAGTGGCGCGAAGAGGGGCCGCCCGAGAAACGTCGGGAGGAGGACGTCTGATGAATTCGGGATTATCTTTTAGACCCCTCCCAACGACGTCTCTTCTTCATCCCCGCGCCGTTCGGGATCGAAATGTACTGGTTTTAAGATCCGCCTGAGGTCGTTGAGCTTCCGACGGATTGTTTAGAAAAGTGATGCTGCTGCTGCAGTCATGTGTGACACGATGAGAGGGAGGAATTTCCGACCCGGTTTCACTCAGGAGACCAGCTTTGTGCGCCTTTACATCTACACTCACACCCACACATACACACTCACACATATACCATATACATACATACATACATACATGCAAACTCACATCGTTCGCTCAAACCGATTCGTGCCGATTTACCACTGCCGCAAATCGTTAGTTTTACCGCGAGTCAACGTTTGTCGTTACCAGGGCGGTGAGCGAATCTCGATTACGTTACGTTTTTTCCTTGATTGTATCGCCGGCGAATAGCTTGTACGAGAGTTACCTAAGTAAATAAACAATACGCGATATGTGACGACGGTTTACATGACTGTGCTATGTGTCACGAGAGCTGTGATGCGTTAGAGTACCTTTTAAATTAAAACTTAGTGTCGCAATATATAACACACATACACACACGTAAATAAGAATACACAATTAAGACACGTACCTATAATTATATAGGTGGAAATCTTGTACTCTAGATCTTTATACCGAACGTTAGTAAAATTCTAATTAAATGGTTATATTTTGATACTCGTGGTTCTTCCTCCTCTGTCATTCAGCCATATCGTGTGAAAATTAAGTGATCGTTCGACTTACTTGAATTACAGCACCTGGAGACAAATGATCTCTCTCGGTGAATCGTTTGATCCCCGTCGTCGAGTTGCATTCCTCGAAGAGGACTCCGTCCGACACATCTTTTCCGAGATTCCAAACCGTCAAGTGTCGGTTCTGCGGTTATTTCAAAAATCGGTTTCTCAGTATTCCCGAGTGTAATTTCAAAATCGTCGCTATGAACCGCCGCCATCTGCGATGTGTAACGGATGTCTTAAAGAAAGCACGCAATACTGCAGTATTTCATAAACTAGCAGCCAATAGGAAGCTGTATTGTAAAAGTACACTCGATTACAGAACGGTTGCAACATGTTTGTTGTTCATATTTCGTAACATACAAAAATTATGACAGCGAACCTATGAATTGACGATCATGCGCAGTAGGTGATCTGACAGCTGTCAAATTACATATACAAGCCGTAGGCATAAAGATAATAGAGCAATATATTAGTTACACACGTTTTAATACAAGAAAATTAAGATTGAAAAATTTTCGCACGTTATATACGTTTAATTCGAAATATCTTGACGAAAATTAACGATCACATTAATATAGCTAATATGGTTAAAAACTAGATACTTCAAGCTTTAACATACTTTTTAAACGATCTCGATAGTATCATTGCAAAAATTACAGCCTGTTGAATTCGCCTATCTTTTATTACAATGGAAAGTACGTCTAACCAGTCCTTGAGTCATACTACTTGAAAAATAGAAGTACGTCTGACTTCATCGTTTAATCATATCACGACTTCAGTTTCTCGTTAAGTATAGTGACAACTCGTAGCGGAGATTCTGGAACTAAATTACAGAAATAACGGGTCTAATAATTCCGTAAACCCGTTATTATGAACGGATTAAATAACGGGTTTATGGGATTCTTAAACCTGTTATTTCTGTAATTTAGTTCCAGAATCTCTGCTACGAGTCGCCACTTTCCTTAACGAGAAACTGAAGTCGTGATATGACTAAACGATAGAGTCAGAGGTACTTCTATTTCTCAAGTAGTATGACTCTACGGCGGCCGGGCCAACCTCCTCCGCTTTCAAATAGCACGACCCCGTGGGACAGGTCGGAAGAATTTCGTTCTCACCTGTACGACCCGATGAGGTGCTGCCGCTTATCATCTTTTTTTCCACACATCTTGTCAATAATCACGTAACTTCGGGCCGGTGCATGTTGGCGAAGTTAAACCACGGTAGCGCCGCGAGAGCACGCCAGGCTCGCGTCGGAAGACTCGCGGTGTCCTGCGGATCCTCGAGAAGGAGCAGAGGCGAGCAGCCGGAGGAGTTCAAATGTTGTCTCGTGTGTATCGTCTGCGCCTAGCCAGTAAGGAACCGGACAAATCGGTCGCGAACCTGCCCGGCTTCACCGCCGCGTTGAGTGTGCGCACGTTCCGCTACACTGTGTCCGCCAGTCAATTCGCACTCTGGATTTCATGAGTTAACGGCGGAAATCTGTTACGCGCTCCGGGCAGCGTGAATTCCGACAGGATACACGTAATTCCAACGTTACTTCGTCATAGTACGCTTGACACCGTCTGACAGTCTCGGTCAAAAACGTGTCCGAAAGTCTATCGCTCTTTGTTGTTACACTGACTCACTTGGCCCTGCTTATCGGAGCCAATTCCGTGGAATGATTATCTCGGTCTTGGTAGGAAAACCCTACTTTCACCTGTGAGGTGTGCCTAAAGTCTCGTTTTTTCCTTCGCAGATGCAGCTACATACATGTGGATGCAGGTAGAAGAAAGATTCATTAATAAAACGGCATGCTTGTAAGTGTAGCCGCGCACTGTCACGTGGGATGAATGAGGAAGAACTGTTGAAACGATCTGCCGCTGAGCGCGATAGGATTTTCAGCTGCTATGACCGCGGTAGGGAGGGTGCTGAGATTGATCCTTGGGAGGATCCCGGCTACGAGGTCTATCATACCACAGACAGATATGGATTTATACAGTGTGTACTTGCATTTGCTCGGAATCAAGTGATCGAGATTGAGTTGTACAATGTATATATATGTGCTGACACGTTTCTTCCTGTTGCAGCGATAAGAGATTACCGCAGAAGCCGGATCCATATGAGGTCAAGCTGCACCACGTGGAGATGGAGAGACTGAAGAAATGGGAGAAGATGACGAAGCAATGGGACAGTGCCTCGACCAAGGAGAAGCTGCGGCGTAGGATATACAAAGGGATTCCCAACAGATTTCGGGGACAAGTATGGATTCTCCTCTTGGGGATTAAGAATCTGAAGAAAGAACAGGCAGGCAAGTACGAGGAGATGCTGCAGCTGGCTCGCCAATGGTCCACGGAGATAAGACAGATTGATGCCGACGTTGCAAGACAATACAGAGATCATATTAATTATAGGTATGTGTGTGTATATGTGTGTGTATGTGTGTGATATAAGCAGATATGAGCTGTGCTTTATCGGCAGACATGTGGTTGTGTATCTGAAGAAAGTGATACACTCGTCACGATTATCCTTCCAGGGAGAGATATAGCATAAAACAAAAGTCCATGTTCTACGTACTAGCTGCCTATAGTATGTACAACATGGAGGTAGGGTATTGCCAAGGAATGTCCGTGTTGGCCGGTCTGCTGCTGCTCTACATGGATGAGGAGGACGCGTTTTGGGGCCTTTCTGTGTTACTAGCCGACAAGAAATACAGCATGCACGGTCAGGCTTTTTCTCAGACACAGCTGCATACAGCTCTTCTTCAGCAACATGTTTACTCCCCTTACGAGCGACGTTATGCTCTCTTTTTCTCTCCAAAGAGAGTCGATCCAATTGTCAAGTTTATTTGCCCGTAAGTTCGCGAGCACGGCTAAGTTGCGAGAACGAAAGGTTATCGGTGACAAAAAGATCCGTTCCCGTGTAAATTAATCACGCACGGACGTGGAAGAAGAAAAAAAAACGCATGCACAACGTAGCCTCGTTCGAATGTGAAAGGTCATACTGAAAGCTTGTTTGCCAACTTCTGGGCAATATTGACATTTAACGTATTGAGCGTTTATTTGCGCGTGCAATAACGTACTCTCATTGTAGGCTTCTACGTGGATGGTTTCCCGAAATTGAATCGATTCATAGAGCACCATGACAAGATAATGAACAAATTCCTGCCGAAGCTGAAGCGAAAGCTGGACAAGTGCGGCTGCGACTCCATATTGTACGCGTTGAAGTGGTTCTTCGTTGTCTTTCAGGAGAGAGTAAGTTCTCCGCTGTTTCTTCCTCCTTCTCTCGCGCGCAAGTTACCTTTCCCTTTTAGGCTGCGTTCGAAAATACCATCCTGAGGATAGATCAGAGTAGAGCAGGGTAAGTATAGCGGTGAAGGCAGGTTTCATTCCGAGTGTAGATGGTTTCCGAACGCAAACATCAAATGCTGTCAAAGATCCCTGGGGATTTGTGTATTGGCTAATTATTTTCATTCAGTGCGTAGCCTTTAATAGTCCTTTGATAAATTTACACGCTTCATTGGCATAGTTCAAAACACAAATTCAAACTTCAAATGCAACGAGTCACCGGCATCCACTCTGAAATATCAGGACGGACAATTTTCCTCCTGAAGTGCACCTATTACAGTTTCCGAACGACACCATTGCTGTCACACTTAGTCTGTCTTTTTCAGCCGACTTAGTTCAAGAAATTGACATACACACTGAAGCATATGAAGCGTACGTGCGAGATTTTCACGCTTCCGTATACGTGAATTTTTTTAACTGGTGCAGCCAGTTCAGCTAAAAAAAACAGACCAATTGGTGCACCTTGAATGTTTCCGAACGCAGCCTCACGTTCTTTTTCCGCGGAAGGAAATTCGTGACGTCGCGAATCGGTGACTCTCGATGCACATCGATCGCGTTGGTCCCGCAGACACCTGTTAGCCTCGGCCTCCGTATTTGGGACATCTTCCTGCTGGACGGCGACCGTATACTGCCAGCCATGGCGTATACCGTGATGAAGCTGCACAAGCGCTTCCTGATGCCGATGGAGAGCCTCGACGAGTTCTGCAACTACTTGCAGATCAAGCTGGAGAAGGACTTCTACTTCGACGACGACGCCGTGATCAGCACGATGGAGCGCAGCATGGAGGAGCTGAAGCGAGCCAAATTAGACTACCCGGGCCCGCCGTTGCCGCACGAGCTGCCACGTTTCCCGTTTGGCACGTTCAAGGAACCCTCCTTTACCAGCAAGGTGAAGCATTTGCGCCCTGAAAACGGAAAGATACGAGATTAAGTGTTACTGCCCGGAAAAATGGTAAAGACTGAATACATGGGACCATGAGGAGTGCCAAAACACGGATGTTGTAGTGCCATTTAAATATTAATATCGTCAATATTTGAAAGATATAAATTATAGAAGGCAGAACAAATTTCTAAAAAGTGTCTGAAAGACGTCTAAGAGACGTTTTACTTTTTCAGATGTCTTTCAGACTTCTTTAAGAAATCTTTTAAATATTTCTTCCATCTGGGAGAGTATCGATTCGATCTTCGAGATAAACTTTTACCAGCAACATGAAACACTCGCGCACCGAGAACGGAAAGATACGAAGGATTCGGTCTTCCTCGGGGGGTAAATTTTCTCAGGAACAAGGAGGTGTCACTCGATGTCTACACGTTCTCGACTCGTGTCTGCGCGAGAAATTCGATCCCGTAGCCGTGTTGTTACCGAAGACATCCGCTTCATGTGCATTTCCCATGCATTTTTTTACGATACGATAGACGTCGATCATACGTCGACGACGTCGATGATTCGCGCGCATTCCATCCTGCATCGCTATTTCGCCAGACAAGTAAATAAGCACATGCCCGTTCGTTTCGTTCGTTCAGGTCGGCAGGCGGAGCGAGGAGTTTAGCGAGGCTCAGCATGTAATGCGAGAGTCCGTGGCGCAACGCAGGGACATGGCACTGATCGACGACGGCCGGGAGAGCACCACGCCCGTCGAGCCGACCAGCGGCCTTGGTGGTGAGTTTACAGTTAGCCACGAAACCTTACACGACACTAGCACCGACAGTATGTCGCGCGACGAGCGTAGCAACAACGATGCCGAGGACGACGACGACGCCGTGAGCGACGCCGGCGACGATTCCGACGTTTGGTCAAAAATTATCTATAGCACTAGACTGTAAGCAAGCGAGAGAGAGAGGGAGAGAGAGGCGGTAGTTGTATCGCTTTGTGCGATTAACTTCCTATCCATAATCATTTTGCTCAACGACACTATCCTATATGTCGAACGTAGGTCCGTAGGAAGCTCTTTGCCCTGGAGGACCCTTGCCAGATATATAAGCGCGAAAATGTCCTTAGTGAGAGGCGATAAGTTCCGTAATAAGCTAGCACATATAGCACTATAGTCTTGTTATTAAACATACTGTTATCATGCGCGATAACGAGGAAAAGCGGCCTGCGCGTTGTCCCGCGTGCGGGAACGCGCACCGCGCGGTGGATATTTTTTTAAAAATAGCGTTACATCGGCGGCGCCGCCCTAGCTGTGTCGATTGTGCCCTGGAGCTCGTGAAGCGGCGCTTCAAGCCGGGAGCCCCCGGGAGGTGGTGAATGGTCGCGTGCGACGCGCGTGAGTACGCGTACACGCTTTCGTCGGAACGCTTGCGGCTCCCGACGCGAATGCCCATCGTCGTCGATGAGTTCCCACGAATGAATATCTCCTTTTAGTTTTTTCTGCATTCGTATGTTTATATTTCAATAAACGTTGCAACACACCGACCAAGCCCAGCCTTGTATGATTTATAGCGCAACCCGCTCTGCCATTTCGATTAGCTTCTTCCGCGCGAATTTCAGATGACGCGTCCGACTTTACCGCAGTGACATCGAGTAATATTTCACATCGTTTTACCGCAAAATATGTACGCACATCTTACTAAGTTCATTGTTCATCTTTATTTTACGATCAGGTCACGCATACGTTCGAAATTTTTCTTTTTCCTCTTTAAGATCTCGTAGTTTCATTCTCGTGCGCGCGTTCGACGGAACAATGTTACATGCGGGATCTCGGCCGCGTTAAATCTCGCGAGATTTCTCCGTAAAAAGCGTCGATTGTGAGAAGTTGATATTTACAAGCGATGTGAGAGAGGGGAAAAAAGGAATAGACGGATACAGTGTACCGTTAGTCCTCGGATCTGCGATAGGTGTAGTAATCCTGAGAACATTAAGACATTATCTTAAGACGTTATAAAGACGTTTTTGTGATGATAAATCGTCTAAGTGATGTCTTTGAGACGTCTTTTAGACGTACATGTTGTATGGGAAGATCTTAGCCTTTTGCTCTGAGCAATATAATGTAATGTAATGTTTTGACAGAAGGCGTAATATTCTTCAATATATCTTAGGAATCACGATGTTCAACACAATGTGTTTTCGTATTATCTTATCAGCGTATCATCGTATCATGTTTTTAGCGGTTGAAGATAAAAATTTCGTAGCGCGGAGTAAGTCGGGCATCTCGTGTTCTGTACTTGGGTAAACACTCGGTGTACCGGATCTTTTGCGTCGACCGTGCACGGAGACAAAGGATCTCTTTGGATTTAATAAAATTCCTCTAATTAAAATTTGTCTTTTGGAACGGAACAAACGAATGAATGTTTGATAATTCAACAAATAGGATTGTTTGGCTTCTCAAGCAATAAATATCTTTACGTTAAACGACATACTTCTTTTATATTTTCATCCAAATATTACAATATAAATAATAGCTGCCATAAGTAATAAATTATTTTTAAAGAAGTAACACTATATTGTAAAAATATTAAGGAACTTCTTTATGTTTCCATGGAACAATATTTAACATATAATGAAAAAATGTTTCTTTTATCGGTAACTAAACATTACTTCCTCTAAATAATACTGTTTTCTCTATCAGACAACGTAGTTTACTCGAGTGAAACAGCAACATTTTTATTCCAACAAAATGATATTTAATACTAAATTATATTCAATCCGTTCTTTTTAGCTAAACCGGCTGCACTGGTTTCAAGAAATTTATATACACATCGAAGCATTATACGAAATTCTCATGTTTCAATATACGTAAATTCCTTGAATTAACGCAGCCGATTCAACTAAAAAGAACAGACCTCTCAAGTCTGTTTTCTATTTCTGAACCAGAGTTGTACTGGAACTTCGTTCCTTTTCCCTTCAACATTAAGTGTTAATTATATTAAGTTAATCATATTACATTTATTTCACTCTAAAGATAAAAAATGCAACTTTGTTCAGGAAAACAGAAAACAGATCTATTGTTTATATTAAACAAACCAAACAAGTGAAATAAACACGCACACTAAATCCAAAGAAACCTTCTTCTCCGTGTGGGTTCTTCAAACTCGCGTCTCTAACGTGGACTTCTCTCTGTGTCCGCAGGCAGCAAATTCTCTTTCGATCCCAGCCTGGAGGATGGCACGTCTCCCAACGGCTCCCGCCGCTCGCTGGCCGAGACGTCGGTAACGTCAACAGCGGATCTGTCGGTGTTCAGCTCGGCGACGCGCTCCCAGGCATTGGACAACAGCCTCGACACACAGAGCAACATCTCGAACGCGAGCTCGGGCAGCGGCGGTCTGCCAACGCCGCGGGCGACTCCGCACCAACCCAGCCCGGATGTGGTTCGCATTTACGTGCCGTACGCTTCGCCGGCGGCCTCCTTCAAGGACGACCTGCCGCGCACGCTGCCGCGCTCGCTCGACACCAACAAGATCCGCATTCGCGTCGATCCGGACAAGACCCCGATCGTGGAGAACCTGAAGCCGTTCTCGCTAGAGAGTCCGGAGGTGGAGCTGGACTTGAAATAACGGCCTCGAGTTAAACAGAAGCCGGGAAGAAGGCACGGAAAGATTTCGTCGAGCAGGCGAGACAATAAGGTTCGAATGTAAGCCGCGATGGTGGCCCGGTGAGTACGTGGACAGGGCGTCCTGGAAGTTGCTTTCCGACCGTGAAGATCGGCTGGCTCTTTTCAAGAATCCCGCGCGAAGGGCTCCGTTGGTTTCTACGAGTGATCGTGAGATCTCGGCGTGTCTGCGCACGGAGCCGTGTTTGTGTAAGATAAATAACGAAGCCGGACCGTCGATTCGGTGGAATTCCCCGGGTCTCGTTCCGACGGAGGATCGGTTGGAAGATCCGATCGAGGCCGAGAATTCACTCGGGACCTGAAAAAGGAAAGAGAGCTGGAGTCGGACGATGTCTAATTGGAGATAATACGTTCCATTTTACTCGTAGAGATGCAATTTTTTTTCTAACGATATTACGTTCGCATGATATTATGACACCGTCGTTAAAAACAGTGTTTAATGATATCCCGAGGGAGATTTGTAGCAAATGTTTAGAATTTCTTTTTTTTACTCATGTGTCGGTTGTAGCAAATTGACACGAAGACATAATGAATCTCGATTTGGACTTTCAGACGGGCGATCGGCCCCGGGTGCGCCGAAGAATCCTCGCGGAAGAGCGTGACTCCCGGCACATTTTGTAAATGTACGCCGTGATACATGAGTACACGCGATATCGTGTGCGCGCGATCGAACGGGACAACGACAAATACGAGATGTCGCGTTGAATCTTTAGAGATTTCCTTATAGAAAACGTCAATTGTGCTGGAGGAGTTGATATTTAGAAGCGGCGGTGCAAGAAAGAGAGAGAGAGAGAGAAAAAGAGAAAGAGAGAGGGAGAGAGAGAGAGAAGAAAAAGAAGGGAAAGACGAATATGATGTGTACCGTTTAAAGTGTGTAATCGAAAACATACCTTACGATGTAATGTTTAAAATGTCCGTTATCTCTCTATAAATTATACATTTCGATTCTCATGAAGAGTTGTAAAATTATAGGAGAGAATTAATTACATTTGAATTGTAGAAAATATACTGAGGGGGGGGGGGGAAGGTCGCGATTAATTATACATTCCAACTTGTAAGAAAAGAAAAAAAAATCCTGAGAGGATCTCTCAGAGGTTTGTTACATAAATATATGTGTGTGTGTGTGTATAAATTTCAGAAAGTGGTTTCATCGATTCGAGAGACATCCGAATGGGACAGACGATCGTTAGATACTTCGACGTAAGAGAATCGAAAGGAGGACGAGGTGTCGTCGCTAAGTCGCGGCCTAATTTACGTTCGTTCATAGTCCGAACACTGCTCATTGTACGGTATGTCACACATACGTTCGTATCGCACACGCAATCCCACACCTGCGATCGTCGGTTTGTTTTCTCTCCTCTTTTCGATCCCCGCGCGAGAAAGAGTGCTCCGACAACGAGTTTCCTCCTTGTCGTGCCGAGATAACGCTGTTAGATAATCGGATCATTCAAAGATCCGCGGTAGAGAGGATCACGTTGTACATAAGCACAGAGGTATGCGTCTAGAATTCACACTTCCCTACACGTTTCACGTGTACGAATCTCAACACGAATGTGGAATAGCGAAAATTCATATTCGGGGTTTTGCCGTTCGAATTTCCGGTTTCAGCGTATATTTATACGTCGTTTCGTTTCCCGATGAATTCGAGGAAAAAGAGAGCCCGATGACGCGGCTTGTGCGAAATCCCCTTCCGAGCAACTATATACGTTCGTTATACTTCAGCGAATTTGTACCCCACGAATACTGTACTTTCATCGACGGAGTAACGTTGCACGCAACGCGACGTAACGCCGTCTTGTCACGCACGCTCGCGCCGCACGAGCCGGTTACATTCACCCGTCCTCACGAGGGAGAGATACTTTAACTGATACACCGGAGTATTATATTGTGCTGCCTTTGGCAACGTTCAAACGTCGCCACTTTATTTTACCTTTGCTTTACTTTTAAGTTGTACCTTCCCCATATCCCGATTTCTCTATCTCTCTTTCTCCTCTCTCACGTTTCTTTTAATATAATTCATATATTGTAAGAAATATACTTTTGTACATACGCATAATATTTACAAATTAAAAAGAAAAAAAAGTAAAGGAAGAGTAAGAAGAAGAGGGAGTCTCCATGCCAAGAAGAAGATCCTTAGATCAGTAGCTATCGAGTTCGGGATCTCTCCGTCTAAAATGTGAATATTGAACAGTTCTCGCTACCGTGTGTCGCACCGATATCTGTATTATTATGATAATAATAATAATTATTATTATTATTTAAACTCTCTCGCGAGGCGTCGCGCTTCGACGTGTATGTGTGTGTGTGTACGGCCATCCGCTTGCTTTCGATCTCGAACCAACATTCCCGAACACGCAGTATATTCTTCGATATGCAAATGTGTATATAGCCTTCCGCGGAGCCTAAGGAGAACGAAAGGTTTTACTCTCTTCCCCCCTCTCAATTGCGCGTACTTGACGCTCGGACTCGGCGATACAAATCGATTGTTATATACCTAATAGAGATAGCGATAATAAGCGACGTTGGTTGAATAGATATTGAATGTTGATCGTCTGGATCTTTTATCGTGTTACGCCGGAAACGAGATTGATAGGATGTTTAGAGAGTAATCCCCCCCTCCACATTTGCGCGATGTGAGCCCTCCGATATTATTATTTCATAACAAGTTTGGAATAGTTGCGATAACGACGGCCTTGCATCCACGATTATGTCGATAATGAAATGAAATTGCGCTCGCTCAGTCGCGACATACGATTGTCGTTTACTTATAGTTCTAAAGTTTTGGGAAAACCCGTTTTTTCTCCCAATTTTCCCGCGGGTTTCTTTGGTTTATTCGGTCCCAAGGAAGATTTGTAAAGAAACATTCGCGTGTGTTCGATTGAAACCTCCCAAATAGCAAGGTGACGTCGGATGAATCTTAATAACGTCCTAATGACGTCTCTAACGTCAATAAGACGTTGTTAAAACGTTATTTGACGTTACCTAATAAGTAATAACTTAGATTGCTAATTTACTTTCTTAGCGAAGGCAAAGAACCAAAAAAGTTCGCGGGAAAATGAGGAAAAAACGGTTTTTTTTCCGAAACTTTGAACCTATATTTTATCGGAATTCTTCAAACCGGGTGGTATTTATCGCGGAACGATTAATTTTTCTATTGATAGTCTCAAGATAATGCGATCGATCTTGCCGTTTGCCGGCGATTACACGGAAGAAAATCAAGAATAGATATTTTTATATGTAAGCAAGAATATAATCTTGTCAGGGGACTTTTAATCTCGATTTGATTGAATTTATTTATATCGATGCAAATATTACTCGAACTCAACTTAAGACTAAAAATCTTTTATGAAGATTATAATATTCTTGCTTATATATGAGAATATCTATTCTTGATTTAAGACAAATTTTTTTTCCACGTATCTTCGTGGAACAGCAAGGAGAAAAGGTCGAACAGTGGATATAGCGCTGATCGGTGTTGCAACTCGTTCGACTCGCTTGAGAAAATCAAACTCGACAACCAACAACCTGAATCTCTAGAACGAAATAAGACTAGATAAGAGACTTCACAGATATACATATATGTATATGGGAATTGTACATTTCATGAATTAATGCTGGCGGCTGTTCCCGACGATGCTGGCGATGTTTTTTTAGCGCGTAGTCGCAGATCTCGCAGTAGAACTGTCTCAGAGTCTCAAACCATTTCGAACAATACATCATCTTGTCGCGTAGAATTATATATACACACTGTGAGACCGACGGTGTGCGTGTATGTGTGTGTATGTGTATGTATGCGTGTGTGTCAATACACTTTGTCGACGAACCCTGATTGCGATTGCAACGATTATTCGCTTCGCGTCAAATTCGGACGCGTTAGCGTTTTAGTTCTTAAGAGAGAGAGAGAGAGAGAGAGAGAGAGAGAGAGAGAGAGAGAGAGACGAATCTCCGGTGAAGCAATGACCAAAACCATTACCGCATTTGTTCGACCGCGAGCGGGGCGAGATCGGTTTCCCTTAGGTATATTGTATGAAGTAATACGATAAAGTAACACAGAACGCAAAGATACGTGAGAGAAAAGTACAATGATTACTTTATTGCTAGGTCGAGAGTGCGAAAACATCGTTACTTTGTTAAAGTGTAGGAATATTTTCGGGCAGAGAGAGAGAGAGAGAGAGAGAGAGAGAGAGAGAGAGAGAGAGAGAGAGAGAGAGAGAGAGAGAGNAGTCCCCGCTTCAGTAGATCCGACTAGAAATAATTGAGCAAGCGATCGATTATAGAGATACAGTGCGTCCCAAGACTGATATTCGTCCTTCGATGATAGATCGCGCAAAAGTTGAACTTTTCTTTGCCATTAGTTTGATTGAAAAGAAAAAAAAGAAGCAATTCATTTAGCCGATGAGAGAACTTTCAAGATGCGCTCGACTTTGATTTTCTTTCTGAAAAGAATAATATGAAACAGGAAAAGAATAATATGAAACAATCTCGATTCCAACGATGAGAATACGATTCTCGTTCTTTCTCAAAAGGAAGCTTCAACGGAGACTAGATTAGGCGGTTTTTCGGATATCTAACGCCCGAGAATGTTCAATGACGAAAGTAAATCGCTGTCGATCACCCAAATAAAATTTCGCCTCTGTTGTCGCTGAAAGAGCATAGACGACCGGTCGTGGGACGCGCTGTACACACACAACCCCTCTGTTCATTATTCACATTCAACCAGCCACTTTCGTGCAGACGAGCTATAATAATAATAATAATAATAGTTCAAACTTAAATGCCTGAGGAGGAAGGATAAATGTGTGTGTGTCTGTACAAACACTCTTAAGATCGTAGCGCGAGTCGATATTTTTTTTATACGTGTGTACGTTGTTAGTGGCCGGGGGAGACGTAGCTTTAGGCTCTCTTCCGTGTTACCTTCCACCCGCTGCTCTCCTTCTGTAGGGCACAGTATATAAATATATATATATAAATATATAGGAAGACGTTTGTGAAAGCTGACGCGAATGCAATACTCAATTAAAAATCCTACCGATTACCGACACGGGACGCACTTGTAAGCCAATTAATTGTCGAAACAATAAAGTCTTAATTGTCAACATAGCGAAAACACATCCCGCTTCTTCTCTTCCAGCATTACTTTTTTTATTGCGCAATCATGCAGCATTTGCTCCAGTTTTTCACTTATATCCCTAATATTTATCTCGGTTATATCTCGGCGATCCGAAACCCGATGCTGGATAGCTCGAAGCTATTGTGATTGAAAATAAAGTCGATGATCGCTATAAAACCGTTGAGTAATGATGCCTGTTAATCTTAGGTAGGTATAAGATTAATAGGCGGATTATACAAATTTACGTTTGGGGAATTCAATGTTGCTCTATTGATTTCATTGATTTTAACAGTTATATGATAATACAGTTACAATTCAAGGCAGTGAGTAGATAAAGATTTCATCGTAAGAAAGACGCTTTCTTTCTATTGAAAGCTTTTCCTAAGTATTCATTCTTCTCCTAATATGAAATAATACTTGAGAGAAGTACAAATTCCAGACGAATATGAATAATTGTTCTATATATATATATAAAATAACTAAATAACTAACTAACTAAATAACTAAATATATAATAGTGAAATGAAATAATGAAAATATACACTCGTATCCGTCACAAAAGCACGTTTCAGAAAATGCAACGCACTTATCTTTTTTATCTGTCTTGCTGCCTCAATCGCGATTATCTCGAGCAATCTTGATCGGTTCGTTTTCTCATTACAACGCGACTCGAGAAGTAATACTGGGTAGTACTATCGCAGGGATCGATTAGTTTTTTAGCGAATTTGCACAGGTAGAGACATTTATATCTCGGGATGATGAAGAGCAATTGCCACTTCACTTCGTGATATACGTGCGAAAAATAAAATCGAAACTCATCATGCTTCTGAATGTACTTCTATTCATAATGCTTCTTTTTTTTCTTACGGATAATAGCGATGTCGCCTCGATAATGACTTAAGGTGCCATTAGTTCGCCACAAGTATAATTTTCCATTCAATTTTCTTTCGTGACGAAAGCGTAGTACATGTTTCTTACACTTCTATCGAAAATATCGGATCACGAATAATTACTCGTTATTCCGTCTAGAATAACGCAATCCGAGCATATTTAATGCATGGGGAATTCTCGCGCGACATTATGTGAAAATTCGTTGCCATCGAATTTTTCTGTTATCCTTCTTAATGGATATATACTGTACAACTATATTGTACGCTGTACAAACACAACGTGAAATCGTTACGATACGTTAATACTATTCTTAACAAACGTTGGCGTACAGAGTGCACTTTTTTATGTAACATTTGTATTTGATACATTTGAAAAATATTACAAATGCAGAATCGACTCGATAGAAGATCGTACGTACGTAACCAGAAAGATACACTGCACTTTTTTTTACATAATCAAAAATAAAATAAAATAAAATTCGAGTCTGCTTTACATGATCAAATATAAAATAAAATAAAATTTGAATCTGCTTCAACTTGTGGGAATTTGTTGGTCTGTTGCTTGTTCATTACTGTTGCCTAAACTAACTAGTACAATTCGAAGTTTTGCCATAATTTCAGCGAAAATTAATACGCCCTTGAATGCGATAACGATACGAACATACTTGGCAGATATGACTTCAAATTAGTACATTTTGTATATGTTGCTTTTTTTACATCGTGTTTTCAGAAATTATTTCTCACGATTCGTCATGTTTTATAAACGGAAAGACGGAAACAATATGGATAAATACGCATATTTAACAGCTAGTTAAATATGTTTATATTCCATATTCAATTCGTCATCGTCTAATTTCTTAGAATTATATCAGCTTTCCTTTTTCACAGAGAAGCTGTTTCCTTTGAAAAAGAAATTTAACCCGTCGTATCGGTTCTAGTGATGTAAAAGTAGTAATATGTAACTGCCTTTATGATGAATAACATAACGTCGCTATATATCTTCTATCTATCGATCGGTATGCGGTTTGGTAACAGCTTTCCGTCCAGTTAATGCGACATTCATTATTGTACCGATTTGTAAAAAGCATCAGTCATAATCGGTACTAGCTTGCCGTTCACCAGCACTTGCGGCCCAGTATAGTAACGCCATAACAGGCTGCTGCCTCTCTTCAATTGGTTGTTAGCCGACAGATGAGACCAGCAATCCAGCCAGTTCTTGTAAATCGGCATCTGCGGCGGGATACCAGCTACCAATCTGGTGGGGCAACAATTTTCATGGAATTAGTACGAAAAGTAAATCATCGATAACGATTTCTATAGAAATATTTACCTCTTCGTGAAATATACATTAGAAATAATATTTTCACTTTTACCTATAGCAAGTGAATCTACATGTTTCGACATCATTCGGTTTCAAAACGAGTGAATGAGTAAACATAAACATTGTTAGTCTCTGATCAAAGTAATTAGCATCGGATTTTCGTGCTTACCCGCAGTCATTCACTGCCATGCAGTGCGACACCACCAGAAACGGATACGTGACGGTTGTAGCTAGAAACTGCAAATATTTCGCTTTGATTAAATATACGTGAAGTGTAATTACATTTAAAATAAGTACTATTAACTAATTATATAAATATCCGTAAGTTTGAAAATATATTGCATAAATTTACATCGATACACCCCGTCAACTTCATTGAATATTCGCTTACTTTCATAGTCGATGCGGTGTACGCTTTCATCGCTTGCTCGTGAACAACGTAATTGTTCAGGACGTATGTGGAGGCACTAGCTAGTATCAAAACGGAGACATTTGCTATCAGACGCGGTACCAATCCTGCATAGTATCCTAGGAAACCGTTCTCCCTGTAGATCTCCACAAACGAGCTGAATATACCGCTGTTGTGAGAATATCGTGATGAATAAATTTTGTCGTAATAACAATAAGCGAAACGATTGGAGGGGAAAAGGACAAATATCTAAAGATTCAACGGCCAATCTGTCGTTATGTTCTAAGGAGAAAGAACGTGTATATGAGTTATTAATTAACTTAATGCAAGATTCTGCTCATAATTTGGCCATTAGAAGCTTTGCATCGTTTAAAGATATTTCTAAATTTTACATTATGCCGGATCGTATTTTAAATGAGAGAAATTGGTCTTTCTCCCTCCAAGTACTGCAAACTAATACATCTCCATTCATAATACGTACTTATATTTTACTTCTCCACCTACAAACTGCGCCATCATCCTTAACGAAATGACTTCCAGAGGATGACTAATTACGATCGCAACTATTCTACTAATTGTGTCCCTTGTAAACTCGTGTAAACATTTCCTACGTCTACAAGTGTAAGAAATTATTATACAAATTATGTTGCATTTTCCTTCCATTTCTCACTTAGTACTTGCCTCACGCTTTCATCCTCTTCGTCCTCTTCCTCGATTTGCACCACGTCCAACTGCAGGTACTCCGCAGTTTTTTGAGATGCTATTGTGCTGACTGTGTAGGAGCACAGTTTTGGCACCAAGCCTCTATAGCAACCCGTTAAACCATCCACTCTTTTTATGTGTTTAACTGGGAGATAATACGAAACACATAAATAATAAAAAAGTAATGTAAACATATATAGCATAAAGCAATCGCAATGTAAAAAATATATTATTTAGTCAAAATGATAAAATTTGCATTTCATATATATTACTAGAGTTTTCCTAATATAATTCAATATATAAACAGTTGTGTAATACGACGTAAATTACATGAAAATTTTAATTTTAAAATTAATATTAAACTTACCATATGCAAAAATATTGGGTAATTTTAATGCTGGCCTTCCAAATAAAGTTACAGTTGGCTTAGGTGGAATTGGCTCATGTCCAATCTGTGATATTTTGTAAATTAAACATATATAATTTATTTTTCCTCTTTCTTCTTTGATATCTTACATCTTTTTGATATATATAGAATATTGCATTCTATATGAGTTTTATTGGCTAATAAATATAAATTTACCTGTATCAGAACTTTGGCATATTCCATAGGATGAGAGACCACATTTATCAAAATTCGGCTGGCTATATCCGACCATAGAACCTCTGGGTCTTTATTGGACATGTTTGATAACCTATATTTTCTTCTTCCTGGATGAAACAAATCAATATTATATGAAATTTGCATATTAACTTATCGTTAGCAAGAGGATTCAGAAACCAAAAAATACATAGAATATAAAAACTGAAAAAATTGTTGGTTCATAGAATTAAATTATAATAAAATTTCATACCTCCAAAAAATGTTTTTGAAAGTTTTCAAACACAACAAAATTATTAAAATAAATAAATGATAATTACGGGCACTCGCAATTAATCCCAATATCTGCAAAACAAATCATAAGTATCTTTAACAAAAGATTTGTTTAAGTCCATGTTCTGAACTCACTTTTATCAGTAAGAATACCTTAAATGTAGTGCTTCTTAGTTAATCAAGTTCGATTCCTAAATCACTTTTAAAGGCACTTCTGTTGATAAAAACAGTTCAAAATATGGACTTTAGACTCTACCATATTCGTTGTCGGGAAGTTTGATACAGTATCAACATAATATATTGACACAAAATTATAAAATAATACAGTATAATTATAGTTACACGTCAAAAATATATTCTCGCAGAATCAGTTGGTTTTGTTACTCACCTATTTTTCGCGGAATTTTCGTGCCTTTTTTCGAACCAACGGCGACTGGCCGTCGACGGCGATCGGGAGTAGCGAGGTTTGGTGTCGCCGTGGTGAGATATTCTTATTTACTTCCAACTGTGCGGTGAACGTCGCCGATGTCCCTTCTTAGCAGGACACCGCACACCAAATCGTCGAGTGCTCTCGAAGGCTGCCTCGCACCTCAATGGAGCTCCGTCCTCCGGACGACGACCAAGTTAGACCAGGTGGTACACGCGAGAACAAATACACCGTGTTGGTGGTATCAAGTATTATTTCTCCGCTTTCACGAGCGCCGGCTCTATTGGAAACGCCGCCCTAACGGTGTCGTTGCCCGTTGCCTGCACCGACGACGAAAGTTGAATTTCATCGGCGATTCATCTCGCTAACGATTCACAATTCGTGTGCTAGCGATTCTTGACACTCGGTTGAACTCGCTTGAATTGTTCGTCGAATTACATACGTATGGACACGGAAACGGGTAAAATTTTCACTCGGATTTTAGGACGATTCAAATCAACGCTCCTCGCGAGGCCTGACAGCGCAACGAACGATTGGCGGCGCGCACCACGAATCGCATTCTCACCTTGACAGGCTCGTGCTTAGATGCAATACCGGACTCTCTTGTGGGGCGAAACCCGATTTTTAACATCTTCCCTTTTTCCATATAAATTGTAACGTTGAAAATATTCCCAACTTTTTTATCCTCTTTTCGCGCGTCAAAATGGTATTAATGAAGGAATTTGCATTACAAAAAACGATCTTTTTCTTTCATTTTATAGAACAATTATTTCAACTCAGTTATGCATCAGAAATGTATAGTATCAGAAATGTTAATATGTTAAATTCTCAGAAGACTACATTTCGCACAGTATAAGAATACGTGATCGTGTGTTAGTGAAATAAAGGAAGGAAACATTTTTGGTGATAAAAATTCATTTGTTAATATTATATTGCTACGCTGAAACAAGATGAAAATATTTGAAATATTTTCAATGTTACTTTTTACATGAAAAAAAGAGACATGTAGAACATTTGATTTGGGCTCCATAAGAACCCACAATATTATATCTAGGCACGAGTCTGTCAAGTAGCTCCGCTCATGACGTAGTTGACGCATGCGCACGAGCTTGGAAAAAAGTGCCTCCGATACTGCTTCCGATTCGCTTTCGTCGATTGTGACGTTGTTACATAACAATGGTGGAATTCTAACTTTCGAGCGTGCCAGATCGGCTAGTCGATGCGATTCTTAGGATGTAAGAGACTCATATTATTTTGTTCATTTCCTCCCGTTCACTCTCTTACATTGTTCGCGCTCTCCGATTTGTCGAAATCTTCGTTATTGCGTTGTCTTGTACAATTTCATTTGCCATAATACGAGACGCAAGCTAGTTTGATCTTCGTCTGAACTTCTCTAACAAATTTTATAAGCGAGCTCTTTGATCTTCTCTCTCGTCAGTTTTTCATGAGCCTCTCCGAATATTTCAGTTTGATGGACAGTGCGCAACCTGCCAAGAAGCTTCGCAGATTGATCAGACGGAACATCATCAGTGTGCTCTTCCCCACCATCGCAGTGACTAGCATCTACTTAGACTTGAGGCGTACAGCTCGTTGGAAGCGCCAACTTGCCGAGCAAGAAAACCAACAATGAGCCTCTACCACGATATATTTACATCGCAAAAGCACATTTGGAAGATGTACTGGTGGCTCATACTTCCATTTGGAGGTTTTTATATTGGCCATCAGATAGATCTAATGGAGACAAAGAGGATGACAATGTTCCGGGATAAATCTGCTCTCTATGGCAGAGAAATGAAGCCTGGAGAGCCACCTTCTTGGCCGTATTAATTCTACGCTTGTTATATGCTGTTAAATTTGACGAGTTGCAGAGCCAGTTAGTTCTGTGTGAGTTAACGAATAAATATACTCCAACATGTAAACCATGAAAGTTATGAATATATATAGCTAATACACGTGTCTAAGTAACAATGCAACATGTTTATTATTAATATGTATATATATCAAGTCTATTTCTCTCTTTCTATTCTTCATCGGTCATGGTGTCTTATACGTTGTACTTTGAGATCGCTGTTAAAATACAAGAAACTGCAAAGTCTAATGTGATTTCGCGGAAAATAGTAAACACATGATCGCTGTTTCTTTAGAACAACAGAGTTGGTATGCATATTAAGCTTATGACTATACCTAATGACTATATGCTTTTATAAGCTAATTTAATTTACAAACTAACTTTATTTACTAACACTTTCAATATTACTTAAATCTATCTGAAAGGATCCTCGTAGAAAGCGTTGAAAGTGCGAATAATTATTACTTATAATATAAAATATTACATTTGATCTATAATTACATTCGATGTTGCACTAAAACTATTGCAGGTTTCCACGTGGATCCTCGTTTATTCTGCAGGTGTGGTTAACAACAAACTTATCCTTAAGTCGAATCTTCAGTTTTCTAGGAAGCAACGCGCGTGCAATAACAGTGCGACAGATGCGTTAACGAAACACTGTAAATATTCTGTTCTTGGTCTTCTTCGAGTCCTTCGTCCTCTGCTTCGCGACGGTATTGCACTGGAGGTTCTCCTTATTGTCGGCCGACTCTTTGGCCGCCAGATTGTACGCCTGCCGCTTCTTCTGCAGCCACTCATTCGTCTTCTCGTTCCAAGAGACCGGTCTGTCCTTCGCCCGGCGACTAAGCGGCTTTTTATTGGTCGCCAAGTCGAGATAAGAGAATTTTTCTTCGTTGGCCGGATTACGGATTCCCGGAATCGGCGCCATGGCCACTGGAACCTTGTTCGGCCTGCGATCCACGAGCCCGTAATTCTGGAACTTGGTGTTCTTGTCTTGCGTGGCGTTTATGTTCTCGCTGAGCTTGCGGAGGACCTTCTCCTCCTGCAGCTTCTCCTCGGCGTCATCCTGCACCTTCGAAGCAACCTTCGCGTAACTCTGCTGTGTGCTCCAACGCTCGCTCGCTGATCTCGTGAACGCGTACGGCTTCTTGTAGGCTTCCGGATTGAAGCGCTCCGACGTTTTCACGAAGGATGAGTCCCCGGGGTCGGCCGACAGCGTAGAGTTGAGATCGTCAGAGTTGAACACCTTGGGCCGCTCTTTGAATCTCATGCTGCCGTATGAGTTAAGTTTATTGGAAGACAACTGTCTCGATGAATAGTTCCTCGAGCGCCTTGGCTTCCTCTCGGCTTCTTTGATCCTCTCGCACGAGTCGACGGACGGCACAGCGTTCCTTGTTTTCTCCGAGACTTTCGCAGGCTCCTCATTCGCATGAACGACACTCGTTCGTTCGCCCCGCTCGAGCGAATGATCTTTCTCCTGAGATTCTCGTAATTCAGACTTCAATTTCCGCCCGACTTCCTTGAGCCTCCTATTCTGCAGGTCTTCCCGTTCACGTTCCACTTGCTTAAGCTTGTCCTGCAGTAACCTCTCCAGGATCCTAATTTCTCTCTCCCTCCTGAAGAGCTGTCTTTCCCGGTTTTGCAAGTTCATCTCCTTCGCCGTAACGACGGCCTCGCGTTGCCGCAGTGTCTCGATCTTCCGCAGCCAGTTCTCCTGGAAGACCTCCTCGCTGACCTCCTCCGGCGATGGGATCGTCGCGGTACAGCCGTTCTTGTAGCCGTGATGGCAGAGATCGCTCAGTTTGCTGTCGGCGTTCGAGGAACTCTCGCTTCTCTCGTCGATCGACACCAAACTGTTGACCCTCTTGAACTGTCTCACCGGGTAAAACGAGTCCTGTGATTTGATCAACGTTTGGTACTCCACTTTCCTTATGTCAACATACTTCTCGATGCGTGTACAAACATTGTCCTCCTCGTTTTGGTACTTGAAGCCTTCGTCTTCAAGCTGTTTATCGTACACGTCCCCTCTATTACTGAAAAGTGAGGACGCATCATCGGAGTCTTCCTGATTATCCTCAGACGCATTTTCGTCGACGATTCTTGACTCGCATGCCGTTAGCTGAATATTGTCGATGTCATCGAGAGCCGTGATCTTTTGCACCGGGAATCTGTTCATCTCAGGTACGATATACGTCTCGACTCTGTAGAGAGATGGTTTCATCGACATCATGATGGAAGGTCGACTGAGTCTCGTTGGTTTCCCGGGACTCAGAACATTTCTACGTGTTGAGTATAAATTTCTTGCACGTAACACGAAAATGTCATTTAGTTGTTAGAATGCTGTAAATCAAAATTATAATTTTACAACGATATTACATATACTATTATGTACAGAGACGAAATCATAGTAACTCTGATGGAAATATTTTACTAAAATGTATTTGAAATTTCCTCTCAATTGGCTTCATTTTATTATTATTCCATCAATATTTCATATACATGTATAATAAAGTCATATATAATAAATTTCATATTTAATATTTTAAAAAATTTGTTATCACAACAGTGTAAGTTAACTTTCCTCATATTTCACAATATTAAATTTCACAAGAAAAATTATGATCTATTTTAAAATATATTCAGCAATTTTTCAATAACTTTCATTTCACTTTTCATCGATTTCAGCAAAATATTTCCATCAGGGAATGACTAAATATAAATTATATTCTGTTATTATTAATTATTAGATTGTTTTTGTTGACAGTGATAATTATTGAAGCAATTAAAGAATCCGAACTTTTCGACTTACGTGTTTTTCAGCTTTCAAATTACATTAACACTGAAAATGTGAGATAATTGACTTATTGTTGTAATGTCTTCTATTACAATTTATTTGCTCTTAGAAAATACGATAACCGGTGCAATGTAAAAATAATATATCTCATACCTTTTATTCGTTATCGAAGAGCAATTATTTCTCGATGTTTTTACAACAATGAAATCATTGTGCTTCGCATAGCGCGGTCTTTCCTTTTACGCTCAACGTTCTCGCGTTCTTATTCAAACTGACCTGTTGGCCCAACGTCTGTCCGAAGGAAGTTGTGTGGGAGAAACCCAGCGTCTACCTGCGTTGTTTACTGGCTGGTCATTCCGTCGTACTCGAGACTCGATTCGCTCGGCCCTTTTGAAATCTCTCGGTTCTGTTGGACCAAGCGACTGGTTTTCTACCTGCGGATTCCCTTGTCAGTTGTATATAGTATATATTGTAGTAGTACGTTTCGCATACATTCTCGCTCGCATACGCTTGACGGGTCGTTTGATCCCTGAAAAAAAAGCGAGGCTTCGCCAGGAAGAAAGGATACTGATTTACGAGCTTGTTGAATACGTTCGCTACCAGCGTCATGCATGTACAACGCGACGGACCAGCGTCGCGTACACGGTAATTATTATTGATTAAAGTACTGTTGTTCTTCGCTTTTACTTCGAACTATTCCTAATAGTATGCCTGAAAATTGCATGAACAATGTCGCTAGGTCTATAGTCAAACTTGGAAAGATCGAAGGATTTGGTAGAATATTCTTGAGAGGTTTCTGAGAAATTTAATGTAATGAAAGTTGACAGGAAATGGAGAGTTCTATATTTACAAGATTAAATTCAATTTAATTAAAAATAAGATAGAGGATATATATAGTTACATATATGTAATGTTAGTTACATATATATAATAAATTATATATAATAATTTGTTGAATATATAAGAAGCAACAATAATATTCAATGTCTTTTATTCATACTGTAATTTTCTCGGATGGCAAAAGTTTCTAATAACAACTATAATCGAATTGAACTTGTTTCATTTATTATCCTTTCTCGCCTTTTTCGCAACCTCGTTTCTCTCTTCCATCATATGTTCTCGAGAATGTTATTTTCGATATTTTTATCATCCGATATTCGATTCGATTGCTTTACCAAGTGATTCATCAGTTATCTGTTATCGCCGAGAATCATTGAAAAAAAATAGCGATGAAAGATTTGAAATGATCCGCGCTAGACGATAGGTACTAGAATTTTCCTCGACGAGCTGGTGATAATTAATTTTCCAGATTATTCCCTCAAATAGGATCTTTTCTAGTATACTTTACAATCTTCTCTATGATAGGAGGAAGTTCTAGAAACATAGTTGAAGTCGGTTAGAATCTCGGGAACTACCAGATGGCAGCACCGACGTGCTTCCTGGACAGCTACTTCGGGGTGAAAATAATCCCAGCACGTGACATCCTATCGGGGAACAGAATGAAAATATTCTAACACTAATTTATAAACTAGGAAATACTCTCCGTTGTACCGGTCTCACGCGTTTTATTGGATCAAGTTCGGTGAATGCGCGCGCATATCGACGAAAGAAGTGCGTGACGCACATCCGCCACTGACGAAGTCGAAAGTGGACGGCGGTAAAAATCCTCCGATGGAGCGACAGATTCTCGGATCCTCCGGTATTAGGATCAATACCGTATATATTCGGTGATCCCAATTCGACCGGAAAAATCTAAATGACTTTGCCGTTGGATCGTGGAGCGATTAACATCGCCACACTTCGCTGTACTTTCGCGCCTGAATCGATAATTATTTGTCCCCTATCGCCCTCTGACGGTAGCACAGCCCTGCGGCGGGTCGCCATATTGCGAACGAAAGAGAGGACGACGCAGTTCCGAGCGAGCTCACTTTCGTGGCATTCGCAGTATCGATCGCCATTGAGCTAGGGAGTTAACTGTGCTACTAGGCGGACTAGAGAAGGATCTTCTCGATCTCGAGACCGGCATCCCCAGCGAGACACCAGAGAAATATCCGCTTCCATTACGAGAAAAAACTATTTAGTGATTTTGCGCCGCGATTTTGGGCGTTCTCATGCCGCGCAGGCCGTTGGCCGGCGGAATCACGTTCGAATACTCGAGCAACATGGAGAAAACGCCGACCAACGTCAACAGCCAGAGCACCAAGCTGTACATACCGCGGCTGACGCCGACGGGAAAGATCAGCCACGCCAAGACCCGAGTCTACACACAGCGCTACCGTAAAGAATGGGAGAATATGTCAGATTTCAAAGGTATAGCTATTGTACGTATATATACACATACACATATATGTGTAAAATATATATAGTACATGCGCATACACATATATATACATACGTATGCATGCCCGCTCTCGTAGTGTGCGAACAACTATTCGCACGAGACTTCGTAGTTTTCAGATCCGTCTCGTGGACTACTAACTGACCTGGTGATGATCAAGTCGTACCGCCCCTGATTTTTCTCGATATTACCATTGCAGCCTACTGGTAGGAGAAACCTGAGAGCGGCCATACGGCCGTTCTCCAAGACACCATCTTTGTCGATACGCCGCCTGAGAAAGTGCTGCACGTAAACTAAGTTGGGTTTAAACAGAGATCGACGATCAAACCTGACCTAACGTAGTTCACATGCACGTTCTCAGAAGGCGCGTCGAAAAGATGGTTTCTTGAGAAACCTGATTGAATGGCCGTTTCTCTCTGCTACTGGCTGCCATGTTGATAGTGGTATATAACCGACCGGCTAGTGCTAACGTAGCAGAATACGTTGGTATGATCGCACTTTCTCTCTCCCTCTCCCTTCCCCCTTTCTTTTATTTACGTTTGGAAAGCACGCTATGGTCCGGTTTCACCAACATTAGTTAATCGGTCGATTAAATTCAGTTGGACCATTGGAATTATTTAACAACGATGCGATTGGACGGTTCCAATGGAAGAGCTAAATTTAATTAACCGATTTGATTAATTCGTCTTGATGAAATCAACGGACCTATTAATGCTATTGCGTTATTTTATCTTCATCGTTTATTAGACATAAAAAAAGAAATGATGCCGGTATGTGCTCACTGTAGCCCGATTCTGTAATTAACGACGTGTCGTTGTGCACCTTTGTGCCATATGTTATACCTGCGCAACGACGACGTAACGATAACGGAAACAGTTATTAAAAATCATATAGTGTTTTCGATTTGCTGACTCAACCCAGTTCGGTCAGCATTCCAGTAATCTTTGCAATACTACCATATAGCTCAAGTTACCTATATATATATATATATATATATATATATACACACACACACGTATATATACTATTAAATACTATAGCGACACTAGCTATTAGCAGAACGCTGCCCGAGTTGGGTGGAGCAAATCGAAAACGCCAACAGAACAGGGGTGCTGAGCGCTTAGTGAGCTCTTGTATCTGATTGGTATATTCTTTTAGACTGAAGACATACACCAATCAGCTGCAAGAGTTCATTGAGTGGTGGTAGTACTGAATGCACGTAATGGCTTCTACATACAAAACGCGGGAACGTTTACCGCGCGGCAAGAAGCGTCATGGTAGCTAATCAACGTACCGTTTTTTAAATGAGAACTAAAAGCTTATACTGCGTCGTTTCTTGCTGTGCAGCAAGCGTTCCCGTGTACCATAAGGAGATAGAAAATGTCACTCCTTGGCATCTTGTATATCTTTTCACTATTTATGTCTGCCCTCTCCCCCCTCACACATAAAACATAAAGCATAAAAAATATGGATATTTTAATTGAGTACAGAAAGAATATGCCCCCCCCCCCTCCACACATAAAGCATAAAAATATGGATATTTTAATTGAATTTAGAAAGAATATCATGCCTGTTGAATGACGAACTTTATGCAGTTCACTTTTTTTTTGCAGAGAAAACGAACAATAGGTCTTTCCTTTCTCTTATTGATAAATGATAAAGGGGATGTAAATAGAAGGATAAATTCTAATAGGTAATGTTTGTGAAATGGTAATGTTTCCAGAAGGAAGAGAATGGGCGCACAGATATTTGTAACGAAACAGAGAAAGTTATCGCATATGTGCTTTTTACAAATGTATTTATAAAATATTTACATAATTGCATCAACATGAAGTAATTTGCCGAGATTAAATTAATTTTTTCGTCTTTCATATTACAACAGGGATATTATCAAAGGTTGTAAACATTTTACATAACTTACTAACATTCTATGTTATCGCAAATGAAATATAGAAAATACAAAATGTAGACTTCGATAAATGTAGAAATGTAGTTTTACAAATAGATATTTCTTACATGTTTTTACCATTTTTAAATCCACATAAACATGTAAGCTTTATTAACAATTCGTGTCTATTTATCTAATTTAAGTCCATTTTAAGTTTTATGTCGATTGAGGACGATAATAAGGACGAAAGTTAAGGATAATGTAGGAGAAAAAGAGAAACGAGCATGTGATTGGCATTGATTTCAGGATATTTTCATTTCAGGCTGGCTGACTTCGGTGCCGCTTCAGCCGACTCGTGCTTATTGCAAGTACTGCAAAAAAGATCTACACGCCCACCGGCTGTCCTTGTTGAAGCACACTTGCACGATGAAACATCAGCGCGCTGCTTTGTTGCTCAATTCAGGTGGAAAGATCATGGATAACGTTCGAACAGAAGAAGAGACTGAGGAAGTTGAGGATGACAGCGAATTTCTTGTCGAGAGATTGGACTTGGAAGATGACGACGCGATGGATACACAGGATAAACTTGAATCTGAAGAAGTAGGTGTAGAGGCAACTGAGGAGGAGAAAGAGACAAGTGACGATATTTGTTTACAGCTACACTTGTCGGATGAAGACGAACATAAGCCGGTGATTAAGAAAATCAAGCTGAACGAGGTAGATGACTTATCTTGCTTATATTGTTCGCGTGTATTGCGTTTGCATTTGATGATACAGATGTTTCTGTCGCGACTCTTTTGTGTCTGTAATTGCACGATAAACAAGTCTAAATTATATATTGTTGTCAACAGAACATGTCCCGCGACACACTGGCTGAGGCGATGGCCCACGTCACCCATGACGAGTACCTTGAGGTGGACAACGATAACGAGCGCTTGGAGTTGGATATGGTGGTGGAAGAAGAGACGTCTAACACCGAAATAGAGGTAATATTACCTGACACAATCAATGACGAGGCCAAAGAGAAGTCAAAGGAGCTCGAGAACAGAAGGGTTACTCGCCGTTCTCTCAAAGCCATCGACAAGACCAAGCCAACATCTAAAATCCTTGTAAGTAATATCTGTTAACAGAAAGATACATATATTTTAGAATCAATTACTAAATAAAGGGCAAATAAGAGCCTATGCATAGGTGTAATAGTGCAATTAATAAGACAGACACTCAACGGTGTGATTAACCCTTTACTTAGTAATTGATTTTTAAATTAAAAGAGCTGTGTTAGTTATAATTTTCATGCATTTTAAATTGAATTTCTCATGCCACGGCTTTTTCTCATTGTAATTAATATTACGTCCTTTATGCTTCATTACAATTAGTACATTTAAAATATTAATAAACACCAATCTAACAGTAACATTACAACAATGTTATAATTTCCCACTCAAAAATGCAACTATTATACACAATGTACGTTACATTGTACTTATATTGTTGAATGAGAAATTATAACATTATGATGTAATGTTAGTTACCGTTAGTTGATGTTTGCTAAGCAGTCTTAATTGTAATATTGTGTAAGTTTGCCACATTAAAAATTCTTCGCTCTTTAATAATACGATAGATTCTACGGGTTGACTGGCAATTGATGATTATTTGGGGTTTTAACAGCAGGCAGACGGTAAGGGTGATATGATAGTTGCATCTTTGCCGGTATTGGAAACGGCGTATCAACTAAACAACACGATAGTATCGACTCACGATGCCAACATTATTCAACCAGTCACAGCTGCGCAAAATAGGACTATTACTCTGACATCTGGTGGCAAGACATTGACATTGACTGGCGGAACGTTCCAACCGGGTACGCAATATGTTCTGAGCAAAATCAAAGGCGCCAAGCTGCCCACTCTGGTGGTGTCTGACAAGAAGCCCATTGTTGCCGTAAACTCGCCTGACGTTAATAAAACTGTTCAACTAACTACTGTGTTAGAGTCGACTTCTTCCACCAGCCAACAGGATAATAAGGTAAGAAATGAATGAGTTTGCTCAATACGTAGATGCACCGATACACCTATAGTCATTGGATTTTTGGAAATAAGTCTAAAACTAAAACTATCATTTTTTATACGTATTCCTTAAGTTTAGCTAGCTATTGCAGAAAAATAATTTAAATTTCTACTTTTAATATCACCTAAACTAAAGGTAAGATTTTAATTAAACTACCCATACAGCACATTTTATCCGATGTATGTCTCGTGGACGTCCTTAGAACATAGAGAAGTTCTCTAGACATCTTTAGAACGTTCCTTGGTGGTCTGTGCTTATAGGTACTAAGATGTTAAAGGCTAATGCAGACATTATATACACAAATTTCAGAATTATCGACTATTTTATTTTGAAAATATACCAGTGTAAATTTTATAACTTATAGTAATACTCGAAATATATACATGTATGCATATACTTAAACACTTCTATATTTCTTCCTATTATCTGTGCATCTCTATTAGATCAACTGATGCGTTAATACAACATCGGTATGCAAAATGAAAAAAATAACATTTTCGTATTTATGATATTGTGTATATATGTCTACCTTAACTTCGTTTCAAATTAACATTTATTATTTAGGTAGTGAAATAAATGCATAGGAGCGTAATTTTACTTGATAAATATTAAATTTATCAGTGGCCCCCCTGATGCGTCACTGAAAAGTACGGCACTAATGGGTAATATATTTTTAAGCGCGATGAACATCGTTCCGATGAGACACACAATTCTTGTTTATTCCAGTCATCCCCAAAATCTACGCCGAAGAAACTGCGCATTTCTACTCAAGTGATGGACATTACCAAGGGAGTTCCGATTAACGGCCTGCAAGTTAGCCTCTACAAGCTAGTAGACGGCAGATGGACTTTCATGAATGAAAGGCATGCAATTTTCTCGCTGTTATTATCTAACGTTATTATCTGACGTAATTGACGTAATCTTCAAAACGGCGTTTATTTTTTTTTAGCAACACCAATTCGAACGGACGCTGCGTAGATTTATTGGATCACAGCACGAAGTCGGTCGGCATGGGAGGCCGTTACAAGATCCATTTAGACGTGGACAAGTATTTCACGCTGAGACGAATAGAGACCATGTATCCGTTCATCGAGGTTGTATTTGACGTGAAGAATCCGCTCAACCATTATCATATTCCCGTTCTGTTGAGCCCTTTCGGTTACAGCACATATCGTGGCTCTTAAAAAAGATTTCTAAAGTTCGACAGTTGATCTAGGAAACAATCGTGCAATGAGATATCTCATTGTAAAAAATTTCACTGTGTGCGTGTGAATTATTCTTTACAAATATGTAAGAAGATGTTACACGATTAGTGATGCCAGAAGTCGGCCTCGGTAACATGCGGTAGCATACGTTTGGAATGTACACGGCACACATACAGGGCAGCTATCCCCTCCATATGCTATCGCATGTTAATACAAAAAACTAGATGTTAGGTGTGCAAATCCCGAATCATCAGTTTTAGTATATACTTGGGTTATTCTATTAAGTATATATGTATATATATAGACAATGTACACTCAATATTGTGCTAATGAACAGTTTCATTTTAATTGGTACGGCGTATATAATTGTAAAGTTTCCTTAGATTAGGTTCTAATCGTCTCATTGATGTTAGGTTATTAGCTCATTTTCTGAGACTATACTTACAGCTTTTATAGTTATTGAAGTTGATTCTTTTTGTTTTCTGCCATTTTCTCTTGCGGAAAACATTTTGAAATTGAATGAAATTATTGTGTTAACTTTCGCAGTATTGGCTGTAACAATAAATTGGACTACAGGGTTTGTCCGGAAAGTAATGCGTCGCATTTTTTTGTGACGCGAGTATACGTCCCTGAGCGGTCGGACCGGTTGGAGAGGGTGGGGGAAACCCGTAGCTTTCTAGCGGTATGTCGCTCAATTGCCTTCATGCGCTTGGAGGAATAGGACGGCTTGTTCCGAGAACTTCTGCGTAGTGGTCGCATCGAAGGTACCATGGAGAAAACGTTAAAGCAACACTATGCGATACAGTTTTGTGTGAAGCTTAAGAAGACGCCGCTGGAAACATTTGAAATGCTTCAGGAAGCCTTCGGAGATGATTGCCTTTCCAGATCGCAGTCGAACAGATGGCACAAGATGTTTCGAGATGGTCGGGAGGAGGTCGCAGACGAGGCCCGCGCAGGACGCCCGTCAACATCGCGAACGGACGACAATGTGACTCGTGTGCGCCAACTACTGTTTTCAGACCGTCAAATGAGTGTTCGCTTAATGTCTGAAAACAGTAGTTGGCGCACACGAGTCACATTGTCGTCCGTTCGCGATGTTGACGGGCGTCCTGCGCGGGCCTCGTCTGCGACCTCCTCCCGACCATCTCGAAACATCTTGTGCCATCTGTTCGACTGCGATCTGGAAAGGCAATCATCTCCGAAGGCTTCCTGAAGCATTTCAAATGTTTCCAGCGGCGTCTTCTTAAGCTTCACACAAAACTGTATCGCATAGTGTTGCTTTAACGTTTTCTCCATGGTACCTTCGATGCGACCACTACGCAGAAGTTCTCGGAACAAGCCGTCCTATTCCTCCAAGCGCATGAAGGCAATTGAGCGACATACCACTAGAAAGCTACGGGTTTCCCCCACCCTCTCCAACCGGTCCGACCGCTCAGGGACGTATACTCGCGTCACAAAAAAATGCGACGCATTACTTTCCGGACAAACCCTGTATGGTGTCTGGTTAGGCAGTCGTTCGGCGAGGATTAATCATTGTATGTATATGTAATTTTATTGGGAAATAAGCAAAGATATGAAGAATTATTTTCATCACAATATGAATAATGATTAAGTGACAATTTAAGCATATATTTATAAATTCAATTTAAAAATATTTAATATTAAATATATGTAAATAAATTAAAAAAATATTTAAATATATGTATGTGTAAAATGTAAATTAAAGGTTGCTAAATATATAAGATACTTATGATTTTATTTGACAAATTGCGCAGGAGAGGACCATTATATAATTGTGAGTCATTTATGGTTCGCGCAATCTACAAAACTTGATTATGTTCTGATGCGAGTATGAAGTAGAAATTAGGTAATGATAATGATATAAAAGGGAGAGCACACACAACTAGCAAGCGCTGCAGGATGCAATTTGAAGCATCCTTGAAGAACTCGAAGTATACTTAGAGTGTTTTTAAATTCGGCATTAATATTTAGTAGTTTTAAGAGTGAATTTTATCCGTAGAATAAGTTCGTATAAAAAGAATATTATAATAATAAATGTCGTATAATAAATTTATACGACACATTGCGACACAATATAATTTCAAAGGGACCAAGAAGTCCCGATGTATCGTTAAGTTTATATATATACGTATGATATATATATATTTAAAAATTATAAATATCTACGAGTGTATTTCCTACATATATTTCTATTACTCTTTCATTTTATGTATTGGAGGACTTTCTCATTTCTCGGTGTATACTATATGCAATTGCATTGATGTATTTCTTTTGGTTGCTTATACATTCTTCTCAATATCAGGTCCATAAATTGCTACTCGTTGCTAAATAAAAACGCATGGATAAGTTCTAAAATTTCAATCGTGAATATTTTCAACCTTTGGGTCTTCCTGTTTTCTTGTCACACGTAACGATCTTTTAATCCTTTAGACACTACGCACCATTATAGTGGCTTTTCGCTAAATGATTGTTCAGGACATCGTTATAATGGTTCTCTTCTAAAATTCGCAGTGAAATTCAATGGATAATTCGTTGTTACTGAGTATAGTTTGTCCGTTCTTTTTAGATTTATTAATTTATTAGATGTGTCGCACTAATGCAGATATAATAAATTGTTATACAGTGTGAAAGTAACAGAAATGACAGAATTCTGCGTTCAGGTCAACTGTAGTTAAAGAATAGCTAAAGAGCTGGTTCTTCGTCGTGGTCATCTCTATTAACGGTGTTGCAAGTGAGGAAACTTCTTTTGCTGTAATCATTAACTCTTTGCACTCGAGGGCTCTGGAGCGGAGCCATTTAAAATTTGTCTTCAAACTCGAGGGCTCCGCTATGGAGACAATGCAAATAACTTTCAGTTCATAACATAAGGACAAAGACAAATCGTAATAACTATTATGTATAGGATATTCCGCTCTTGCTATTTGCATTGTCTCCATAGCGGAGCCCTCGAGTTTGAAGACAAATTTTAAATGGCTCCGCTCCGGAGCTCTCGAGTACAAAGGGTTAATATATAGCCGCATTATCATAGTGAAACATATGGTTTAATTATGTGACTGGATCATGTAAACTTTACGGCTATTTAGTGATCATTAGAGCAAAAAAAAGAGCGATTAGAGGAATTAAAGCGGAAAACTTTTTAAAATATTTTCAAAATCATAGCTCGTATTTTTACATTTCAACGTATTTTGCAAAAATCCTGTATTTTCTTTCTTCTAACATAAAAAAAAGAAAAGATAACTGTGGCGAGGAACGAAGAGTATGAAACTGAAATTTACTATGCGTTTTTTTTCTCGTGTGCAACTCGATGGAATCGCAAATGCGCATATATGTCGTGTGCGGACGAAGTGCCTTTTCCTACCGAATTCAAATCTTTCATTGCGACGTCTCGTGTCAATTATTCGTTATCTGGTGTATATCAGTCTGTATTAGTATAATTATAATGATACGCGACTGGCATTTGTGAGGGACTTATTTTGGTTAACGCTTGCGTCTCGTGCCTGTCTATTATAATTTCGTGTTGGTACACGCATACATTCTCACACGCATTTATAGATTGTATTATTCGTGTAAATCTTCGCTCTCGCTCCCCATATTGTTATTTGTCTTCCGATCGTCGGTCGCGTCTTGTTTAAAATTTCACATCAATGTTATCTCAATGATCACATATACACAAAGCGAGAAGCAGAATCTGTAGTGTGAGACATCACGTTTGAGGCGACGTTCCAAAACGACAGATCCTGCTCTGTTTTATCAGAACTTTTTCGACTTCGAATAGAGCGCTTGATATTTTCGGGTTTACCGATTCATTGGTACTTTACGTGCTATACGAGACTTGATTAAGCGAAACGGAATAAAGTGTAAATATGAACGGAGACAGCAACGAGACAACCAAGGTAGCGCGAATTTTTACTATCTCTAACGATTTTCGTACTGCAGCTCGAAAAAAAACATATTCATGCTTCGTGTCTCCTTTTGATAGTCGAATCAGATCGCCAGGCTTTTACGACGTCTGATAATCACCACGAAAGTTACGTACCTCAACACAGGTCTACCTGCTTCTCAAGTGCTGGTTAATCTCTTCAGGTTTGACATTATAACAAGTGACTGGGTTTTTATAAAAAATAGGTATGTATCGCATGTTATCAAGCAAACATCAACTAATATCAAATGACATCAATGTTGTAATTTCTCGCTCAACAAGGTAATCGTTACATAACACACGCGTTATATTTTTGATTATTATTCACATTGTTGAGTGGGAAATTTCGTTCGTACGATTATGTTTAGAAAGAACAAATTAAAAAAAAAATATCTTGAAGACATCCAAAAGTAATGGGGAATATTAATATTCGCATATTAGACACGTTAATATAAATGACGTCCAGTATACTTACAGAAAAATCTTATTGGCTAGTCAATAAATTATTATATCTCAGTGATTTTATTACTAATGCTTAAGGATTTTAAGTTAAATTACAGAGATATTAATAATACAGAGCAATTTAATGATAGTAACGACAGTAATAATCACTGATCTATTACAAAGCTCTAATGATAAGTTACTAGCGCGAAGTCTTCTAGCAGGAATTCATTGCTCATGTGAAGTGATTAAAATCGGTACTAATAATTAAGCTCTACTTTAGTAGAGTAAAATGAGGTAATAGCGGTCATCCAAGCGGAAACTCATATAAAACTAGAGTAGGCAATGTCAGGATTTGCTTAATGCCATGGATACCTACAGGTGTTTACTATAATATAGACTGGTGCAAAAAATTCCATAAAATTATATATCGGAGAAACAAATGAAAAAGCGAAAAATGAAATTTCACCGGGATCGTTTAGGTAAACATAATTTTGCTGGAAACGATATTCTGTAGTCGCAGAAATTAATTGCTGTAGTAATTTGCCAAACAATTATTGAAGTACTGATCAATGATTAATCATTAATATTTTTCCAAGTGATTACCAATAATATTTTTCTGTAAGGATAACTAAAAAATTACTGACATATAACATGTGACATATGTTTATGCTACTTGGATACATATCAATATATTTTACATTTTTTAAAATTTCTTTAGATATCCTTTGGACGTTGTTTAAGTTATCCGTTGGATATCATATAGACGAACATTTATGCGGATATCTGGGACCATTTTAAGATATCCTATTTTATTACAGTTATCGCGATATCCTAAAATTATGTCTATAGGATATTCCTCAGATAAAGTATGTTATGTGGGTGTTCTTCGAGCCTGACTCTTATTTTCTTCTTTTCTAGCATAACCGGGGTGGACGGCACTTGCACGGATCTAACGGAAAATGTGACAAGATTTCTTGATAGAGGCTTGTACAAGATTTTGTACAACATGAATAGAGATTCGGAGAGATTATACGAGAGTATGCCGCTGTTCGGCATAATCGAAGTAGTATTTAACGCGGCACATTATGGCCATTATGACATAAAAATACTGGCGAGTCATTCCGGATACGTAGCGTATCGCTCCATGTGATCGCTGCGTTGGCAGATTTATTGCAGAACAATGGGAAAGATTTATATATTTAGTGACAAAAGATATAATTTGTATTCGCATATAAAACGCATTCTTAAACGTGGCCCGACTGAAGATTTGAATTACGTTTCAATTGAGCTGCGTGAGAGAGAGAAAGAGAAGATAATGATTCGAGATGTACTGACGACGAGAAAATCACTAAAACTTCGTGCAAACACGACGAAGGAGAGACGAATGCGATGTTGCTTGGACAATTTCTTATCGTTTCTCTTGTCATTTTCGATCTTTCTCCGTGAAAAAGAATCTTGGAATTGAATATTGAATATTGAATATTGTGCGCGATGTACAGTACCGCCGATCTCTCGACGATTAAATTGTTTTCTTAGGAAAAATCGAAAATCGCTGACATGAAATGATGCTGCTTCGGAATTCAAGCGTTTCAAATTAATTCGATGCCATTAATTCTGCGGATTGACTCATGAAAAGATAATTGATTTTTACGTAACTTCTACAGCTACATAAAAATTGGCGCTGTACGACTTTTTGTATCATATGACCTTACGTACACAAGTCTATAAATATAAGATACAAAAGTGCAAGAATGCCCTTAATTTAATGAAATACAAAAGTAAACGTCTAATCGATATTAAAACTTTCATTTGATTAGGTTAGTTCGTCGTTGCTAATTAGCGCTAAATGTGTGCCCGTTCAATTGTTATTTACAACTTTTAGCAGATACCGCCCTTTGCATCAGGCGACAAATTTAATAAAGACGTAATAGAGGTAAACATTTGGCGCTAATTGTGTATGATGGAAACACGGAGTTCTCGTGCCATGCAACACACACATACACACACATACACACAAGTATGTTCCATCTATCGAGTATCGTATCAAATGTCGCGATATACAAATCGCCGTGACATTGAAAACACACCATGTCACGCTGTATAGTGACTGCAAATGTCGCGAATCTAAATGAAGTGTTCGCTAATAAGCGCGCTCTTCGAGAAACACGGCGATATTTCCCGCCGTGAAGATTCTTTCCTATCCGAAATTTCTTATCCTGTCTACACTTCGTTAGCGGTTTCGATAATATGAAAACGATACATTTCGGTATTACTGAGGCGGTGATTCTTACTGCGGTAAAATTCAAACGTTGGTAGAAAAATCTAATATTATTCGTTTATCGACAGTGCGCGCTTGTACGATCGATCAGACCGCACGAAGATGTCGCGCGAAAATGCGCCTAGAGACACGAGTTCCTCGGTTTGTTAATGCGGCGGTAGATAGCTGCGATCGTTGTGGGGCGACTTCGGTTTTGGCGGCAGATACGTGGTACCTCCCAGTGCTCTTGGTCCCGGTGACACGATGCGAGGTGTCACACCGAGCGCGGCGGCGCCTAGCCTGAAACCGGCCCGATTCCCGTTCTCGTCCGCGACGTAGCTGCGAACGTGCACAGATTGACAGCGTTTTTATATCCTTCTGACGTTTTAGTCTATTTACTACACTCATCGGATACGCGCAATATCACCGATAAAATAGCAAGAAGACGAGAGAAACTTTAGTAAAAGAAATATCCACGAAAGATCACTGTAATCTTCCGGGGGTTATACAATTTCCTTGGCTGATTGCCACTAAACTCTGACTAGTCTAATCGAGGATTAACTCAGCCGACAAGGTTGTCAAGAAACGAATAAAAAGGGGAAAATGAGAGACAGTTGTTAAAACGAGAAAGATAATTCTCCTGTTCTCTCCTTATATTTTATAGAGTTAAATTATTTGCCGTATTCTCTGTTAGCTAGTTATTAACTTTCTATTTACAGTTGGATGACAAGTTACACAGATGAAATTCCTGTTGGCAATTCTGCCGGCTAACTGCCGATTAATTTAATTAGACTTCAATGAGTGTCACGCCTCGCGCGTTTTTCGCGTGCGCGAGAGAAATATTGCGAGATAAGATTTCATCATCGCAACAAAGTGAGTACAAAGTATATCCTTACTTAACGGAGACGGGGATCCCTTCGGGACTCTTATATGAGTAATGTCCTTCCACCACTCGAACTACTTCGCCATCTACGATCTTGAAGGTGGCAATCTCCTCCATCTCGACGTCGTCCACGTTTGCGGGGATCGCCGGACTTGCGATCGTTCTTGGACTACCCTCGAACGGCGGATTCAGGATCAGACCTCCGGAACCGCGGGCAAACAACGGTGCCTGCTGATTGGACGACAATTTTTCAGCCAGGCAGCACGCCAGAAACGGCAGCAACCACCAGATCTGCAAAAGAGAGAGGAAGGAGTCTTAGTTTATGTAGAAGAGAGATGGTATAATATTGCAATATACACACAACCTAACAAATGAGACGTAAAAATATTAGGAGTTTGCAAAAGTTCGTCGGGCCGTTGGTTCATCGACTCAACAAATGAGTTATTTTACAAACATGAAATCACAGAATTATCTGGAAGGTAACAGAAAGTAATGTATAAAAATGACAAATTTTAACTGAACATGTACTGTTTCTTTATCATTGATAAAAGATATAAAAATGTAGAGATATATAAAAAGAGATGAAAGATAAATAGCTAAAAATCCGGTGAGATTTTCTCGCAAGCTTTTAATTTAATTAGAGTCAAGATTTTATTATATAGAGAACAATTATGCGTCTCACACGTGTAGTTTTTACATGCACCGAATACAAAACAACACCTCACGTGAGATCCACGTAAACTTCTGAGGGAAACTTTGAGACTATCGCACGATTCCCCGTGTGTTGTAACAGCGACGTAACCGATTTTAACATGGTTGTAACCGATTCTTTCTATAGGAATGCCAGCCATAGAAAGTCACTGATTCTCTGTTAGCGTTTGCGCGCGACGCGCTAACACGCGCAGTTAAATTGAATTAAATTAAACCACTTTCCGTATAATATTCTTTAATCACATTTTCATTAAGTGAGGGATGATTTTTCACTGAAGTTAATGTCCGTTTTGCGAATTTATATTATTGGCTTAAAAACGCGAAATTATTCGCTGCGATGGCAAAGATAACAGTCACAAAAATGGGTTTGTTGACAATTGCTTCCACATATCAATTTTTTTACCGTACCAGCGAGTTCGTTTAATTACAATTTTTCCGAATTTGTCGAATCGACAAATCCATATTTTCTCTACGATAAAATCCCAACGATAGAAAACTTTATTTTCCAAACGGTTCGTGCAGATTTTTGTGTTACTGTAACAAAGTAAGTATGTTAATTTTAACTGTTGTATACATATATTTGTGTACTTTTTAATATACTTCCCGTGTTAAAATAACACAGAAATTCCGGTGGACCGGTGGTTTGCGCTTAAACCTTAATTCGCGCCGGTCCCCTCGTGAACTCGTCGTGGATGACCTCGCGACTGGTGCGCCGGCGATCGCGAGAGCCGTGCGCGTTGAATAATCGGCAGTCGCTATTCATCAAGAAGTGCGCTGTCGGCGCGCGGCGGAGGAGGAGATCCCTCGGAAAAGGACACTTTCTACTCAATGTGCGATGACCGCGCGGGACCCGCGTTTTGAACGCTTCGGGGTCTAATAACCGGCCGTACGCGCGACTGCAGAGTCCTCGCGAAGGTGCGCTGGGAATCTTCACGAATCGCACGCATGTCAGTTTCGCAGCCAAGATGAACTTTCAACCCCTGATACGCGCGTATTGCGAGAAAGAGAAAAAGAGAGAGAGAGAGGGAGAGAGAGAGAGAGAGAGAGAGAGACTTAGCGCGACCGGTACGCAACAGCGTTTTTCATCGACGGGACAGAACTGGTTCCTAAAATGATTACGCGCAAATGACCGCGTATATTATTAATAGACCTCGTTATTACGTGCGAGGGTGAAGGGAAAGAAAAGGCACGAAAGCAAAAAAGAAAGAGAGAGGGAAAGGAAAAGGTCAGGAAAAAGAAAATGCTCTCAGTGTGTCGTGAAGCGAGAGACTTTTTTATGTAACCACACGCGAGGTGTTTAATAGGCGCGTCGTTGATGCGACTGTCGCGTATTGGCTGCTTAATTGTTATTAATCGACGCGGTAAACCGGCGGGGGCACGGCTCACCAGCCGATTCCTCGTGATTTTCAGGCGACTTTTCCCAATCTCGTCTCGTTTTGTCAATTATATCGATTATGTCGATTTTCCCGGATGTATAGCTTTTTCGGCTTCGAGTTTCTCGCTTTGCAGCAAAGTTTCAGCCGACACGCAGGATGACGGATCGCAGCGGAGCGATGAATTAACACATCTCGCTGATTTGCGTTCAAGAAGGATCAGTAAAAGCGTATTAACGCGCCACTGCCTCATTGATCGAGTGACATCGTACGTGTCAATTTCTTCGTCGCACGTGCGACTCTGAAAATATCGATTCTCTTCAAATTTCTTTCTGCTCTTTTACCCATTGTACGTCATAATTTATCAGTTAACGATCGCGAGACTCCTCTGTTTATTTATCGCAAATTCTATTACGTCACGCACGGCCACTCGCGGATCACATAAATTTAAGCTTCGATAAAGTCTTCTCAGACAGCGCATTTCTCGAGGAGACGTCTTTTAGAAATTTGTGCCGTCGTTAACACCTGAATTAACATTTACTAGACTATACTCGCTGCCCAGCGAACATGATTGTGTATTAACCATTGACGTCATTGGTATGTCGTTAATACTTCATTATGCTTGCTGGATAGTCTTGTTAATTATCCTCATTGTATCATACATCGAGCTATCAAAATAATAGATTAGCCGAATAATCGGCAGTCACAATGTCGTAGTTGGCTATTCAAACAATGATGTCCTACACTCAGAAAAAAATATTTGATATTTGTAATTGTAATCATAGTAAAATATAAGTAATATAATAAAAATAGTAAGAGAATTATACGTTGACTGCCACGGAACTTTTCACGATTCTGATCTAAGAAGCCAATTTGATTTAATCAAGTAATGAAGCGACGAGATAACTCGTAGTTGGCGTCCTGGGCAAGTAAACAACCTACGAGATATCTCGTAGTTGGCAGTCAACGTGTTAATAAAATCAATTTTTTAATAAATGTTAATATAACATTGTGTGATAATAATATGCATATTATTGTTATCACTATTTTTGTGGTTAAAATGATAAAAAGGTTATAATTGATCGAAAATAATTATAATTTCTCTCAATGTATGCGAATGACTTTATGATTGGAGACGATTGGAACGATTAGAAAGATTGGAAAGATGACTTTCGGCCCGGTAAGGTAACGATAAGGATTTCATTGAGTCTTCGTACACGTACGAAAATTCAACGATCCGTTTGCAGGCTCAAATTAATAAATAAGTCGTTAACAAGTCCGTCCGGGCTTTTGCGCACAGGTGCAAATGCGTAACGCAACGCGATGCAACGAGGTTGCGTGGTGTGAAATTTACGAACGATTTGCGTTCGAGTCGGCTACATAGCTACGTACAATAACGCAGCATCCACACACGGCGAGGATCACGACGGTAGCTTCTCCGTGTTCTCCAGCATGCGGAGAATATCTCAACGAGGAATAATTTATGACGACGGGGACCGCCGCGGATTCTTTTGTCTGCCTCGTTGAACACAGTGCCGGATCTCGGCTCGTCGTGACTTTAAGCTATGAGGGTCCCATCGCCCTTTCTCACCCCTTTTCTCCACCAAAATAAGAATTAAAATGTCTAACGCGAAAACGAATGACACTGTTTGTATTAGTAATTAAATTGTCGCAATTAAATTGGCACGATAGACGAGAAATTATTATAATTTCACACGGTATTTACGAATGCTTGTAACGATATCGAAAAAGTTTATTTTTCTCAAGAATTCCTATTAATAATTAAATTAATATAATTAAATTACGTAGGTAAAGGTAAATCGTAATCACATAAAATCATTGTGATATTATACATCATTTATTCGATTGCTCATAACGATATTAAAAAACTTTTTTAGATAACGCGTTGCTTTTGATAAACGAGTAAAATATCTAACGGAAACGAATTACGTAAAATTGATTTATTGCTATTAATAATTGGATCAACGTTAGATTAAAGCGATAATCGAAACATAAAAAGTCATCATAATTTAGCACGAGGTTTTCGACTGTTTATAACGATAACGTCTCGAAATCGTAATCGACAGGTAGAATAGCACTTAATTGAACAATCAGAACAAAAAGAGCAAAGATTTCTTCATCATGATTGGTTAATGAAATGCCGCTCCACACGTTAATTACAGTTTCGGAACGCAGCCGATATTGGAGAAATATTTTACCAAGATAACATGTAGCTCCTCCTCGTAAAGGTGCAAGTCTTTGTGATTAGTTAACTTCTATAAAACAATTAGGCTCGGTCGGGCAAACACTTAAATTATAACATCGTTGCACTCTCGAAAGTAAAATCCGAGCCTGCTCATGACGCGAAGAATCTTCCTCACGTTATGCAGCTGTTGAAATTTCTACAATGGACGTACCAGCGAGTGGATGATCCCATGATGAACCATCGTGGCTGTTAGTTACGACGACGACGACGATAACGGCAATGACGTTAAATACAGCGCGGACGATAAAGATGAGGATGAAGAGGACACTTCGCACTGCATCATCCGACATGCGTCTCGAGAGCGCCTCGATATCGCGGCCGCAACCCTGTACCACAACCGAGATCGAATATCGGGGTCCTGTCGGCGAATCCGTGCTCCTGCGGGTCCCCAGCTTTATATACCTGGTGAACCGACGGCGGGCCGCATCGCTCTTCTCCCTCTCTGATCGTTGTTGACTACGAAGAGGCGACTCGCGCGAACGTCGTCTGCTCGCGCCAAACGCGAACGATCGTTCATTTCGCATATCGCGCGGATATGTATATGTGTGCGCTTTAATGAGCCTTTAATATTGTTCCCGAAGCCGACGACCTGACAGTAGCGGGATTATCCGGGAATAAGGGTGGATACGGTTCACTGACGACTCGAGATGTTACACTGACAATCTCGAGCACACGTCGACAATGAGATGACATCTTAGATAAATCTCTTCTTTTCTTTTTATTATGGAAAAAGTGTTAACGTGTCATACCTTTCCGCCGTCATCCGGCCATTCGTCTATCTCATTAGCTTCTTTCGTCTTCCGTTAATTGATTCTTATTTATTATTATTTGCTTATTGTTCCCTTGTCAAACTGTCAGTGGATAAATGGTTGCGATACTTCCCTTAATGAATTTTCTAACACATCCTGTAAATGATAGAATTTGCTTTTCAATAATTTTCTCAGAATGTACATTTTCCTATTAGATACGGGATACGTTGTGAAACTCATCGAAGTAAAAGTGTTGCAATTCACCGTGTTTTATTCACCGTATAAGTTTTAGCTCGAGAAATTCTTATAATTAAATATATTATCGTTATTCAATTTCACGGTTAGAAAAGTTATTTTTTTTTAAGTAAAAATGGAAAAATGGATTTTTTCCAAGCTTTTGAGACTGTAATAGATTATAATACGTGGACACCTAAAAAACTTGAGCAGCGTAAGTAATTTTAATTGCTGCAGCAGCAAACATACTATCATAAATATCACTTACGATAATTAGTAATCCTTTGTTTCCGCGCAAAACATTCACAATTATAAAAAATTATAATTATACCATAATTATCACAAAATAATATTTCTAATAATCATTTACAATCCACTTAACTAGAAATAAAGAGTTTATGTTATCATCCCGCGCAAGGATTGCGAAGATCTCGGGAGACTCGGCTGGTAACGCGAAACTTGCGTCTCAGCACTCGATTTTTGTTAAGGAGAGATTCTTAACAAAGTGGCGCCCGGCTACGAATCGCACTGCCTATGAATTTATGAGCGAGGGTTAATCCTAGCTGTCCTCGCCGCTCATCACGTATAAAAGACGAGATTCATCGCGGCATGCGAATTTTATTCGCGGTGCGGAATGAAGTGACGTTACGAGGACATGCGTAAGTGAGCCCGCGGTGGCGATGCGCGTATCCTCCACCACACGGGTGCACCTGCGATCGTGTGCGATCGCCGCCGCGCGCGGGGAACGACACGCGGGGATTTATCGTCGGCGATTTAAAGGCCAGCTGTCGTCACGACGAACCGTCGCGCGATCTGGCTCGTTTAAGGGCACGCGGACGGACAATGCGATCTCTGAACCTTTAATAGGATGCGTTCGCCCCCTAATAGGATGCGCCGTTTCTTCAGCTGACATTTCATTTCGGTCGCCGCGTTCGAGCCGCGCGCATTCCGCGACCTGAACAACAGTAGCGATCGCCTCGATCGATATCGCCGATGAACCGACTCGGAAAGGAAAGGGAGGCCGCTCCTTGAGATAACGAAACGGCTCCTGTTCGTATCCTGAAGAAAAGTGAAGCAGATGCGCTTGAGCGAAAGGTTACCCGTTTGCAGCTCCCGACGAAGAATATTTGTCATTTGAGACAACGCGACTATTATAAAAATATGACGCAAACGTTAATTATCAAAATAGAGAAGACGATAACGTAATGACATAATTGATATGACGTGATACAATTGCGCGTATAAAATAATGATCCAGTTAGCAAAGGAACATCAAATCATTCTTTTGAAACATTGATTTTATGCGGATTTTATAAACATTTTGACTTATTTTATAAATGTTTTTATATTTTTACTGTATAAGTATTATTTTTCATGTTTGAGTTAAATATTGTTAATAATAACATTTTATACAACAATAAGAACGATCAAGCAGAATGGCAGGTATAAACGAACGAACTCTCGTTTTCCCGGCCGAGTCCGAGGCAGAAAGCGCTCGCGATTGGGACCAGGTTGGTTCTACGCGGAGGTAGTTTGTCACAGCGCAGGTCGGACGATACGACGTAGCCTAAAGGTTTCGTCCGAGGAGCGCAATTTTTCGACCGGAATGTCGTAACTAGGAAGGTAGCAATTTTCAGATTGTTCAATGTAACATAACGTAACAGCGGCCGAAGCGATGCCATCACTCCCGTGGTTGCGTAACTTTGGCAAAAGGTTCCGATATACCTCCTCTCTCGTGGCGAGATGACTCTCTAGAGGATGTACAAAAATATCCTTGCGCAACGTCAACACGCACACGTCCTGTCCATGTATGCGACGTACGCGCGAAATTATAATCCGGCACAGGCAGCTCCGGCGAGATAAGTAAAGTATCACTTGTCGGGAAAAATCGCTGACGAAGTTCGCGTCGCCGGTTTTGCACCGTGGCTGTCGCGTTATCCTGATTTATCCGCCGGCGTTTTCGCTCCCGACGGCGGAGCGCGAAAAATTGCTCACGGTCGAGGTTCGGCTCCAAGGGTGAAGTGCTAATTTACAAGAGTCATTCTGATTTATCCCACATTATTTTTCACTCGCGAGAGCCGATCGACGAGGAATTTAAACGAAGTCAAACGATAATTCCGGGGGTTGATCGTGATTTATCCAACGCTCTCTCTCTCTTTTTCTCTCGGCGAAATAGAATGTTAAAATTGTAAGTGATCCATAATTCGCGACTGTACTCGGGGATTCCACTTTTAATTTTATTCCGCATGTTTTTCTACGGAATTTTTATGCATAAAGTGATTTTTGATCTGTACACATACACGCACACACACTGTTAGTGGAAGAAAAGTTGCAACACGTTTTACCTTGACGAAGTCCAGAATGTCTCTGTTATTCGATACGGAAAGTTGTCTTTTGATCATTTTCAAAGGATATCGTTTACTATATTAGGCGTGTTTTAAATTCATCAAAGTAAAAGTGTTGCAACCTTTCTTCCATTGAATGTGTTCATCGATTTTGACACATCTGTCACTATTTTTCATTTACGACAGCCAACGAATTCGAACGATTATGAATCGATTCCCGGATAGCAAACCGAAAATGATTTATTATCTTTCTCGTAAAATATACGCAATAAACAAAATGCGCGCGACAAATTCTCCAAGGACAGTCGCGTTACTTTAGTTGATGTTTATGCAAGCGATTCGAAAGCGTTTATGAAAGAGTTTAGGAGTGCTGGACGTTGACTATTGGTGTACTCGATCATCGATTTATTAAGATTCCGCAATCTCGTCCGTTTCTTCCCACGGCGTGATGTACCCAAATGTCAACACTGCGGACACCCCGTGCATCGGAGAAAGGGAGAGTAAGAGAGAGAGAGAGAGAGAGAGAGAGAGAGAGAAAGATATATAAATATAAAGCCAGTAGGATTAATCTCTAACCCGTGTTATTATAATTTCACGATCTCCGTCGATTGCGTTCTTAAGTACGACGACCATTAGCAATTGAGCAAATCTCAATAACTGTCGCGATTCAAGACATCGTCGTTGTTCCTGAGATTTATCGATAAAACTGACCATTTGGAGGTTCAGATACCGTTAGATCTTTCCTTCGAGATGCGGTGTGTAATATTTTAAATATTTCACACCCAGTTGAAATTCAACTAAAAAATCCACTTTGAATAGATAACTGTCGCAATCCAAAGTATCGTCGTTGTTCCTATGTGACCTTTTAGCGGTGAAAGTGAAGACTATTAGGAGGTTCCGGTATTATCGGATTCTTTCTCCGAGACTATATGCGGTGTGAAAAATAGTATTTCGGATATTTTACGCTCAATTAAAATGCCCAGCGATGCTACGGTAAGTTTCATTATGAAACGTTTTTTCTCTCTTACTGAACCATTACACAGTAAGAGATTTCGTGCAAATAACAGTCCAAATTTGTGTGTTAACAGATGAGTATGTTAAAAAGTAATATGTCAACAAAGTAAATATGTTAACATACATTCGTGTACATACATTCATGTTTTTAATATATTTTTATATTAAAATAACATAAAAATTTCAGTGGGCCGTTATTTGCAGGAAATTTCTTGTTGTGTATGATTTTGTTGAGTGAAAATATTTTAAAAACAACGAGAATATGTTTTCGTCACCTAATCTAAGAAAATACACAGACTTATATGAGACAACTAATGATTTGGACAAATAAATAATTTAAAATTTATAACAGATAAATAAAGATAGTTTTTCGAGATTAAACTTCTCAAACTATTCAAGCTGCAACCCCTTCGAGTGGTCTAATATTCGCTGCGTTCATCGTTACTTTTATTTTGGCACGTTCATTGCCAAGCTGAAAATTGGAATTTCGTGTGGTGGCCAAAATTTTTAATTTTTTTATTTAGTTTTTATTGTGCTCAAAATAAGTTAATATATTATTTATGTGCTTTTATTATTATGTGCATAGGATTTATGTACTCTAAATATCTATTACGCGATAACGCGTGATCGGCCGTTTGGTGAGAACTCGCATCACGCAATATCGCGTGATTGGCGATGAACGTGTTAACTGAGTCATCCTCACCACGCCATGCGCACGAATAACGATCGTGGTGGGCTTGTGAATGAAACGAGCAATAGCGTACATAAGGACACGCATGCAATGTGCGAGTATCTTGCGACTATGATATCAAGAACACACTTTCGTATCGATCGTATATAAACAGTCCTTGCAGAATCCATCGACAACGATGCGATAAGTCGTAACCAGCGTTCATTTAACGGTAATTAGTACGAAGGATTATTATTAATCGGCAAAGAGACAAGCGAGAGGCCCGAATAAATTGATAACACGATATTGTTGAAATTCTCCGGACGAATAAATGTGAATAATGGTGAAAAAAATATAATTAGTCGGACAGAACAATGTTAATATTAAAAATGTGCAAAAGATGGTTGATGAAGTACCGCTTGACGATGGTAACGACAAAATGAAAAGAAGATATGAAAGTTAAAATATATAGTTCCCAGTCTCCCTTTCTAATGCGAAATTCTTCGTTGAAATTAAAGAAGTCTAATCATTCTAAGTTTAAAGCACACGTTATCAATCGTGTTATTAATGACGGTGATATCTCGATGAATCTCTTGCAATCAAATCCAGAGGTTCGTCTGGCGTCCACCGAGACGAGGTTTACGGAAATACGTACTCCGATTAATAATGTGATTCCGATTAAATATCGCGCTATAATGGCAAATCGATAATTCAGGGGGCGATAAGTAATGATGAGGCATTGAATAGCCGTCGATTTCCTAAATGAATACCGGGAAGTCATAGCGTGAGGGCTAGCGACGAGAGAACTCGAGGAGGTCGTTGTATTGGCGAATCAATCATCGGCGAAGCGCCAAGCGTATCGGCAGGTTAATGTCCGCGCACGAAGAAGCGTATCTCACGTCGCGAATCTGGGACAGACTCGGCACTCGGTAAAGATACGCGCCACTACCGCGTTTGCAATATCGATTTGTTAGTCGATACGAACCAACGCGTACGAACCAACATGTATTATGTTTGATACATAATTCAGTCAACGGCTATTTCGTCACTCGGTACTCGCCTCCTCGTCGGTGAAAGGAACGCAGGTTGCAAGCTTGTAAGCATCTGTGATAAACGCGGCTGGGCGAAGTACGCGAAATAAAAGCGGCGGAGGGTCGCCGATCCGCGCGCAACTTTGTTTCATGATTGCTCTCTCGCGCCGGTATAAAAATTAAAATTCATCAGCTGAATTCATTAGCTGAACTCTTCATTATTACGTATGCAACGTGAATCCTTCACGTGGCAAAAACGAGCGTGATTTTAATAATTGCGTCACACTAACACGACACAGTTATTTCTCGACTGATGAATGAAGACAATTTTGTCTTGCGAGAGAGAAAAAAAGATAACTTATAAAATTCGTACCGCGATGTTTCGATGATTGCACACGCAGAATTGCCACTCGCGATTCCTTTCCCGAAACCGCGAGAATGACACTCCACGGAATATTTCCCTTCTTCTCCCTCCCCCCACCGTCTCGATAGAAAGCTATTCAACGGCGGGAATGATATTTACCAGCGAGAGTGGCCGTTAATTATTATTAAGTCGTTGCAACTTTGACGAATGGCGTGTAGAGATATTTCGAATTAATCGCGAAGCCACCTCGCAGGCTCGACGAAATCATTCACCTTGCACAATCCAGATACTACGACCGCATAGTAGTGAGTCACCTGTGTACGGCGAGGCGCGGCGGCATGAATTTTTATCGCTCGTCCTCTCGCTCGCTCCTTCGCCCTCGGCTAGCCGAATTCACTGGTTCTCGCAGTCGCAGATTTATTATTTCGCCTTATCTACGATGGAAACCGGGAATCTCTTCGACTCCGTCGAGAGTTGGAAAAGTAGGTAACAGTGGTGGTGGCAATAGCGATGAGAGACGACCGGCCGCCGAAAACGGCTGAATTCGCGGAGAGCGCGTGAATTTTTCACGCGTGTCTTATAAGTTTGCAAATCCCGTCCCGTTTCGTAAATTTGCCTTACTCATTTACAAATCTATCCTCACGGGTGTATCGCCAGAATCCTAAGTTGGCGATACCCCGCGTTCTCGTGTGCCTGCCGGCAGGTGACGAGGTACGTCATTCTTTATTCGTTCATTTCCTCTCTTGTCTTCCTTTTTTTTTTTAACGAGGCATTTTATATTCGTTTAATATCTGTAAGCTCAGCGGAGTCAATATTTTACGCGAGACGCAACGTGCACGTTGTCGGAAACCAAAAAAAGAAAGAGTAGGAAAAGTAAAGAGACATGTCTTATCTCTCGCGTACGCTTCTCACTATTTTCTGTAAAAGGCTGAGAACGAATATAATCGATATCTTTATCTTTTTTTCTTTTTAAAGAGTCAAATAATATTTTCGCAAACGATTCGAAAATAAAGAGAGATCGACGGTTTTAGTCGCTTTGCGGTGTGCGCACCTCGAGCGTGATACGTTTTGGTTGCGTCATACACGGCGAATTTCGCGTGCAACCGGGAGATTTCTATACGATTCGCCGGTAATTTATGATCCAAAGAGACATTTCGATTAGTGCTACGAAAAGTTAACTCTTCTTGCTGATCCTCGATTAAATGACGATGAAGATAATCCGTTAAAAATCGCCGACCACGAAAGCGAGGAAGCATCGAAATCTGTACATTCGAGCGGCCGTTTAATTAGAAGTCATCATAATATTAAAACGACATTTAATCAACAAAACAAAACACAAAGTTTTTTCTTATGTAATAAAATGACACAATGCAGTTATTTAAATAAAAAATGTGCATTAAAAATGCATTGTAAATACATTTAGCATGTTAGCGTTTTAGCGCATGGCGGATTAATGTTCGTTCGCGCACTGACATACCCCACGTGTTTCAACACGTGGACGTCCCGAAATCCTGTCTGTCGCCTGGAAACCGTGGATATCCTGCTGAAAGTACAAATCCTCGGCAAAGAGGTCAGCGACTCTCCCAGAGATCATTCTTCACTCATGTCATTTCTCGCTTTGCACTCCTCCCGTCAACGTATTGCTGATGAACTCGCGCTCGGAGAAACAGCTTCTCGTTTTCCTTCGAAATATCTCACCCAGCTCATTCATGATAAGACTTCTTGACGATTAATAGACATTGACAATAGTGTCTTTTGAACAAAGAAGAAAACCTTTTGCAATTATAATAATTATATATCATATTATATGTAGCGAATTATCTTTTTATAATAAGAGAGGAAGGGGATGTGGCTTTACTCATATATATACACACGCACACACATCAGAAGAAATAACGTATATTTAAATACATATAAATTACGGCATACACGTACGTAACTCGCGAAGAGGCTCACACGAGCTCTCGCTTGCAATAAATTCAGCTCGACTGTCTCGCACTACTCTCGGCTTCTGACTGACTGACTGACCCCGTGAGCAAAAGTTCACAAGTAGCGTTGTAAGCTTTTTATCCTACGAGACAGATTACCGACCGCACGTCTGAACTTAGAGGTGTACAGATGGCGATTGCATACACCATGCAAACTTCTGGGCAAATTCAAATTATGATGAATTGAATGACTAAAGTAATATTTAATTGGTCTGTTCTTTTCAGCTGCACCGGCCCTGAACTGTGCAATAAGTTAGAATGAGACAAAATACACTTGTCTCGCTCTGACTTATTGCGCCAGATTAGTAATGCAGCTAAAAAAGAACCAAATATTTACATATCTGTACTTCGCGTACGAACCAACAGTTTGCACCATTGACATATAGTAATGAACGGAGCAAGATTTCTTTAATCTTTCGTGTTGAGAGACACAGAAAAAGAAAGCTAGGCACGGTTCTCTCTTTATATTCTCTGTTCATTGATTAAATTTTGTCTAGGGAGAGGGAAAAAACAGTATCGTATTCTTAAAAATTGGGAACATCTTTGTCGTGTCGCTGTATATGAGTGATATTGTGATATACGTTATAAAAATGATATGATATACGTTGCAAATAATCAGTAGCATAGTTTCTATCTGTTTATTGTACAAAATGCGTGAGTTAAACTAAGATGTATCTAACTGATGCATAGGTGAAATTAATAAGAATAATAAGTGCTTCATAGTCTCGTTGCTGAATAAACCGCTACCTTTTTTTAACACGATTTCAGTTCAATGCTCCGTCCAATATTAAATGTCGATGATTTACACGATGTATCTATGCAATCGCCATCTATACACCGCTAAGTCAATTAGACACTCGGCAATCCGTCTCATAGGATATATATATATATATATATATATATATATATATATATTCCTGTAAAAATTGACAAATCAACGTAAACATAGTTTCTCTATATAATATATGCATATAATTGTGCATATATATTTTTATTATTGTTATTTATAAATCTACATTATACCTAAGGTATATCGAAATTAAACTTAAGGTAAATTCATATTATATTAAGCATCGAACGTATCGGGCACAAAACATTTCGGTTCCGCAAAATATTATATTATATTTTTTTATCGTAAGAATTCATATATAGCTATAAAAAGTATTCCAAGTTATGTGTAACTTGCGACAATACAAGTTGCACAGTTTGAAATTGATGCATAATAAATTTTTCTATCCTATTTTTATACGTTTTATTGTAGTAATTAATAAAGGACATAAATAATAAACTTTGATATGTGATAATCATTTTTCGTACAATTCTTATTTTACGATAAAACGCCTAATTCTTTAGAATTTTCCTTAATATTCCACGATGTACATTTTACACGATGCGCTCTAACTAAAAAAAGGTGTGTCCACCAAAACATAATATTAGATAAGATTAGATAAGATTTTTTTCAAATCTAATTTCTTTGAATTTCGGAACGGCTTCCGATTGGGCACAGATTGGACACTGAATCACATTATTCAAGTCTAATTAAATTCAATATAACTAAACTAATTAGTCTGTGTTCACTTATAAGTATTCAATCAGGATGCACTAAATTTCCGCTTAGCTGAAAACCGTGATAAGCGAGCAAATTTGCGACCAGTTGCACGAAAAGCTTTTTTCAACTCAAACTGCTTGCTGATAAACCCAAGTGTCGAAATTTAACGTATTCTAAAGGCATCTGGTATAGGTGCTGCATATGATACAGGTCCTACATGTGATACAGGTGTATGTGGAATGGTTACTGAGCCCAGATTGAATTTGGCTCGATACCCTTTGTCGTCTGCGATGTAACTACGGATGTAAAGATTGGTAACGTGTTTGATCCTTCTAACGTTTCTGTGTATTTAACGTACTCACAGGACAATATCACCAATGAAATAGCAAGAAGACGAGAGGAACTTTAATAAAATAAATATTCACAACAAATCATCTAATTCTAATTCTAATAAAATAAATATTCACAAAAATAATCGTAATTTTTCAGGGACAATATAATAATCCTTAGGTTGATTGCCACCAAACTCAGATTAGTCCAATCGAAGATTAACTCAGCCGTAAAATTGTTAAAAAATAACAAATAAAAAAGAGAAAATTAAAGACAGTTATTAAAATGAGAAAGATAAAAATATATCCAATTCTCTCCTTATAATTTATATTTAAAATTACTACCATATATCAAAGAGAAAGAAGAGAATTATATTATCTGCTCTATTCTCTGCTAACATAATTATTAACTTTTTATTTACAATTGGATGATAAATTACATAAGTGAAAATTGCTGTTGGAAATTGTGTCGATTAATTACTAATTAATTGAATTAAAGTTTAGATAAATGTTATTGCTTTTTTAGCATGTACGAGTGAAATTTTACGAAATAAGACTTCTTCATAGCAACAATGTATATACAAAGTGTATCCTTACCTAACGTAGACGGGGATTCCTTCGGGACTCGTGTAAGCGTAATGTCCAATCACTTGATAGCCGAAATCGTTAAAGAGTTCCTGTTTGTCCTCGTCGACGACGTTCATGGAGAACGCCGTATTTGAGGCCGCTCTTGGCCTATTCATAAACGGTAAAACCGGGACCAAATCTCTGGAACCGCGAACGAATAACGGTGCCTGCTGAACGGGTAACAATCTCCGAGCTGGGAAGCACGCCGGAAACCACAGCAACCAGATCTGCAAAAGAGAAAGAGAGAGATAGTCTCAATTTATGTAAAAGAAATCGTGATTTAATAATATTGCAATACAACACAATCGAGATTTAATAAGTGAGGTGTAAATATATTAGGAGCTTGCAAAAGTATTCGGGCTACCTCTGATTTCATCGGACTAACAAATGAATCATTTTACAAACACGAAATTACAGAATTATCTGAAAGCAAAAAGTAATGATAAAGGATGATTTAAACTTAACATGATGTGTTTCTTTATTATTGATAAAAGATATTAAAATATAGATATATATTAAAACAGACAAAAGAAAAATATATAAATTAATAATTTCGAAGAACTTTTTTTACAAGCTCCCAAATGAATAAACGTATATAATTCTATTGTATGTGATACAATTATGTCTCTCACACGCGTAATTTAACATTCACATGCGAGTATAAAACGATATCTCAAGTACGATCCATGTGAATTTCAGAGGGTAACTCGAGTTTATCGTGCGATTCTCCGTCTGTTGTAATAGTTATGCCAGTTTTAACATCGTTGAAACCGATTTCTTTTAAAGCCGATCATAGAATCAACTATTTTATTAACGTTCGCGGACGATACGCTAATATGTGGGATTGCACTTACATTGAATTAGATTCAATCATTTCTCTATAAAGTGAAACAAAAATATTCCTTTATCGCCTATTTTACTAACAAGGTGAAGTCACGATAAGCTATTTACCGATTTTTATCCGCTTTGATGAGATTATCAGCATTATGAGAAAGCCATACAAGTGAGAGCGCTTCGTCCAATGTACCTTATTTTTTTCCATGATACAAATTATGATTTCGCTTAAATTTTATTTCGCATGAGCACTATAGTTCTCTACAGACTCGCTATGACCTCGTGACCGGCACACTGCAATCGCGGAAGTCGCGCGTTAGACAGTCAGCAATCGTTATTCATCAGAAAGCATGATCCGATGCTTGGCGAAAAAAATTCCTTGGAAAAGATCACTTTCTACTTAATTCTTGATCGAGCGGACCTTAATAACCGGCTTTAACAGGGCTTAATATACGCGCGATGCGAATATTGCGAGGTCCTTTGTGAAAGTGCGGCGGCAATCTTCGCAAATTGCGGACGCGTCTCGTTTCGCAACCAAGATGAAATTCCAAAATCTGATACGCGCTCCACAAGAATTGCGAGAGAAAGAGAAAGAAATATTTATTTTAAATAATCAATTACGCTCAATTAAGCGAATATTTAAACTATAAATATCATTACATTTTCATAACAAGAATTCTTCTCAAGCTCATTATGCAGGCGCTAAAATTTCTACATAAAACATACCAGCGAGTAAATAATCCCGCGATGGACCATTGTGGCTGTCAGTTACGACGATGACAACAGCGACAGTGATGTTGGAACGCGGACGATAAAAATGAAGAGGACACTTTGTACACCGTATTACCCGACATGAGAGCGTCTCGATGTCGCGATCATGCTGTACCACAACTGGAATCGTATATCGCGCTCTTGTAGGCAAATTCCTCTTGCGGCCCCTTTATATATCTGATGAACGACGACGGGCCGCATCGCTTTTCTCCCTCTCTGATTGTCGTTACATCATGAAGAAGCGATTCGCGCCGTCACCTATTCGCGACTCGCGAAACGCAAACGATCGTTCGTTTTGTGCATTGCACGGGTGTGTGCATATATTTGCTAATGAGCTTTTAATATTGCTTCCAAAGTCTTCAATCCGATAATCTCGGGGTCATTCGAGAATATGGATAAATACCGATGATGCAAAATGTCACACTGGCGATCTCGAACACGCGTCGATAATGAGATAACATCTCAGGTAAGCTTTATTTTTATTATTTACCTATAGCATTTATTATATATAACACGCGCGTTAAATAAACATCAATCATTATTCATCAGAAGACACTTCCGCGGAGACGATGGGAGGGAAGATTCCTTGAAAAAGGACACTTTCTAATCAGTCGCACGAGGCTTAATATACGCGCGACTGCGATCCCTTTTAAACCTACGGCAAGAGTTGTTGTGAATTGCGGATCTCATCGCAGATTGCAGTCAAGATAAAATTTCAAAACTTGATACGCGCCCCATAAATATTGCAAAAGAGCAAAAGAGAGATATTTTTATTTCAAATAATTAATTATACTCAGTCAGGCGAACATTTAAATTATAAATATCGTTGCATTTTCGTACAATCTGACTCTGCTCGTGACAAGAAAAATTTTCCTCGCGTTTATTATGCAGCTGTTGAAATTTCTATATAGAACATACCAGCGAGTGGATGATCCCACGATAATCCATTGTGACTATCAATGACGACGATGACAACGGCGATTATGTCGTCGACAATGATGTTGGATAAGGTGCGTACGATGAAGATGAGAAGATAAAGAAGATATTTCGTATTATATATCAGCTGGCACAACAGCACCTTGAAATTGCTCCTTATCAAGGTCAACTTATACCATAACCGGAATCGTATATACACCGGGGTTCTGTCGGCAAATCCGTGCTCCTGCAGGTCCCCAGCTTTATATGCCAGGTGAATGACCTGGCGATTGTGGGTCGCATAGTTCTTCTCCCTCTCTTATCATAATTATCCACGAAGAAACGACCCGTGCTTACCGTCACCTACTCGCGACTCCCCAAACGATCGTACGTTTTGCGCATTGCGTTGGTGTGTATATGTGTGTGTTGTAACGATCCTTTAATATTGCTTCCAAAGACTTCAATCCGGTAATCGCGGGGTCATTCGAGAATATAGACAAATACGGTTTACCGATGACGCGAAATGTCACACTGGCGATATCGGGCACGTGTCGATGAAGAGATAATATCTCAGATAAGTTTTATCTTTTATGATTTATCTATAGCATTTATTATAACATGGGAAAACGATGATTTTCATGCATTTCCTCTTTTTCGTTAATTTCACAAACATTAAAAAGATGAAAGATAATTATAGACAAAGCAGAAGGCGCGATTGTAGTATACCCATGTGTGTTGGCTTTAGAACTTAACTGTATTTTTAAGTTACACCTATCTTCATAGCCTGTTGTATTTTTACTAAGTAAAAAACTTTTTTTTCGTCTTGCAGATGAAAGATGTATCCTTTAACGGCAATGCTTTCCTACGGAGTTTGGTCTGTTGCTTCCTGTACATTCATTAGTTTAGATAAAATAATTAATTCTTCATTAACTATTGCGAATGTTGCAAAATGATACATTACTCTTTTACTTAGGTTCATTTGTTCTACTTGCATACCACGGGAATCGAGAAAGGTTTGGGACTCTCTGTATATATGCTTCCGTAACAATTAATAAATCAACGTAATACAGTTTCTCTATATAATCGTATATATATGTGTTCATTATTGTTATTTATAAACTTAAATTAATATTTAAGGTACATACGAAGGTGGATCAAATATAAACGAACCTTTTGCAAAAAAACCATATATTTTTCAAAATCAATTCTAATTTACATTTTTCTTATTTTTCTACGTAGTTCCCCATCTTATCTATACATTTTCTCTAACGGTCTGATAATTTTTTAATCCCGGTATCATAAAAAGTTTGATTTGCGGACGTGTATCAAACCAATTGCACACGAACTGCTGCACTTTTTCGTTCGTTGTGAAGCGCTATCCACCAAGGACTTCCTTGGGTGGTCCAAACATATGGAAGTCGCATGGTGACAGGTCTGGATTGTAGGGTAGATGTTCTAGGACAGCCCAGTGCATATCGGCTAATTTTTGCCAATTTATGTATTAAGCAACTTTGGAACCCAACGAGCCGACATTTTTCGAAATCCCAACTCATTGCGAATGATTGATTGCACACTTCCATAGCTGAAGTTCCTGAGAGATTTCAAGAAGAGTTAAGTGCAGATCGCCTTCGATGAGTTCTCGAATAGTTTCGGTGTTCTGCGCTGTGATGCTGATGCGGGAACAGCGCGGGTGGGCAATGTTTTCAACACGCTCCCATCTTTTCTTAAATTCGTTACACCACTGCTTCACCTGAGCCCATGAAAGGGTTCTTTCCCCGAACTGTGAGAGTAAACGGCGCCGAATTTCAGCAGCATTTACATTTTCGTTGACGAGAAACTTAATAATAACACGTTGTGCAACTGCGGGGTGTACATCTTTCTCGCTCATCGTAATTGCTGCTAAGAGAAAGAAGCACGTGGAACGCCAACGTTATTACTGCTTTCCACATGACCTCCCTCCACTGTCCACAACGTTGCCGACCCCTCACGCCGCCGACGGGCGTGCAATTTAAAAAGGCTCGTTTATATTTTATCCATCCTCGTATAAATTAGACTTAAAGTAGATTCATATTATCATCGAACATATCGGCAGCACGAAATGTTTCGGAAAAATATTTTATTATGTTTTTTTATTGCACGTATGTCATGCGTAACCATAAAAAGTCATGTGCGACTAACTTGCGACAGTTTGAGATTAATGCATAATAAATTGTTCTACCTCATTGTTATATGTTTCATTGTAGTAGTTAAGAAAAGACATAAATAATAAACTTTGATACATAATCAACATTGTTTGTATAATATTTATTTTACGATAAAAATGCCTAATACTTATAAATTTTCCTTAATATTCCACAGTGTTTATTACTTTTTGCACGAGGCGCCTGTTTTTGTAACTAAAAAAAGTGCACTCGTTGAGAGAGATAAGACTTTTTAAATCTAATTTCTTTGAATTTCGATTCTCGATTAGACACACATTGGACACTAACTATATTAACGACATATTAACTAATTACATTATTCAAATTAATTTTGCCAAATTAAACATAATTAAACGATCTGATCGACCTGTATCTTATCATAAAGAGTGTTCGATAAGAATATGCCAAATTTTCGTTCGGTTAAAAACCGAGGTAGCCGAATTTACGACGAGTCGCACAAAATCTTTTTTCAACGCAAACTGCTTGCCGATTAATTTCGGCCAAATGGCGAAAATTAGCGTATTCTAAAATCATCTGGTATTCCTGCTCCTCCATATCCTCCATATCCTCCTGCTCCCTGTAGTTCCGTTACGGCAGTGCCCAGTCTGAATGAGGCCCGATACCCGTTATCAGCTGCGATGTAACTGCAGATGCAAAAATTGACAATGTTTTTAATCCTTCTGACATTTCAGTACATTCATTTACTCACTGAGCACGCGCAGTATTATCAATAAAATAGCAAGAAGATAAGAGAAACGTTAGTAAAATAAATATTCACGAAAAATCACCGTAATCTTTCGGAGATGACATAATCCTTAGGCTGACTACTACCGAACTCTGATTAGCCTAATCAATGATTAACTTAGCCGGCAGAGTTGTCATAAATAACAAATAAAACGAGGAAAATGAAAGACAGTTATACAATAGACAGTTATCAAAACGAGAAAGACCAAACTTTCCCGTTCTCCTTTTATATCTTATATTTAAAATTGTTATCAAAATCAGTATTATCAAAATATCCAAGGAGAAGAATAGAGTTAAATTATTTGCTCTATTATCTGCTAGCATTATTAATAACTGTCTATATATAATCGGACAATAAATTACATAGATGAAAATTACTGTTCGATATTGTGTCGGTTAATTACTGATTAATTACCGATTAAATATTTAATTAGAGTTTGATGAATGTTATTCATCACCTTTTTTGATATGTGCTAACGAAGTTTTACGAAATGAGACTTCTTCATCGCAATAAGATATATACAAAATGTATCCTTACTAAACGGCGACGGGGATCCCTTCGGGACTTATATAAGCGTAATGCCCATTCACCACATGTTCCAATTTGCCATTCACAACATTGTAGCGGGCAGACTCCTGCCTGTCGACGCCGTCTCTGTTGATAATGTTCTTGTAGAACTCCGGTTTTGCAATCGCACTTGGTACACCCACGATCGGCGCAACCGAGGTCAACCTTCCGGGACCGCGGATAAATGACGGTGCATACTGACTAGGCAGCAATCTCTGGGCCGGGAAGCATGCAGGAAACCACAGCAACCACCAGATCTGCAAAAGAGAAAGAGAGGGGTCGTCTCAGTTTATGAAGAAGTTGCAATTTAATAATATTGCAATAGAGCACAAAATCGAGATTTAATAAGTGGGGTGTAAAAATATTAGGGGTTTGCAAAGTTCGTCGGCCCGTCGATAATTTCATCGGCTCAATAAGTGAGTCATTTTGCACACGAAGTTACAGAATTATCTGAAAGGTGACAGAAGGTAATGGAAAACGATGACAAATTTTAACTAAATATGTACTGTTTCTTTGCCATTGATTAAAGATATAAAAATATAGTAATATATTAAAGAAGACTAAACGTACATGACTAGAAAACCGATGAACTCTTTTTACAAGCTCCAAAATTCTCGCGGTCGGGAGATAATTCTATTTTGTATGATATAGAATTACGTCTCTCACAGTTTACGAGTCATAATTTACGAGTACAGAATGATACTTCACGTATGACCCACGTGAACTTCAGAAAGTAGCTTCGAAGCTATCGTACGATTCCCCATATGTTGTAATAGCTATAATGTAACCGGTTTTAACATTGTTATAACCGGTTCCTTTTACAAGTATGCCGACTATAGAAAATCAGCGGTTTTGTTAGCGTTTGTGTGTACTAACATGGCTTAGTCAGGCAAACATTCAAATTATAAATAATAAAAAATATCGTTTCGTTTTCGTATAATCTGACCCTGCTCATAACAAGAAGAATTTTCCTCGCGCTCCTTACGAAGGCGTTGAAATTTCTACATACAAACATACAAACTACATGTACCAACGACTGTATGATCCTACGATGAGCCATTGTAGCTGTCGGTTACAACTATGACGGCAACGACGATGACGGCGGTGACAATGATGTTGGATACGGCGTAGACGATGAAGATGAGGACGAAAGTGACACACTTTGCACTATATCACGCATGCGTCTTGATATCGCGCCTATCCTGTACCAGGGGATCGTTATCGGATTCTGTCGACAAATTTGCGAATGTCCAGATTTATATACCAGGTGGACTGCATCTCCCTCTCCGATCGTCGTTTCATCAGGTAAAGGCAATTCATACAAACGACTACCGTCTACTCGCGACTCACCAAACGCGAACGATCGATAGTCACAGGACGGTTGCAACACTTCATTCGCGATGAGTTTCTCAATGTATCTCTCATCCAATATGAAAATGTGTCTCATGAGAATTGCTAAAAAACGAATTTTCATATTGGACGAAGGAGGCGTTTCGAAATTTATAGAAAATAAGTGTTGCAACCGTCCTGTGACTGACTCTATGTGTGTGCTATAACTAGTATATTTTAACGAGGAATCTCTTCACCGGCGCTGCGCGCCGGTACCGCGCATTTTGATGAATAGAAATTGCTGATTATTAAACGCGCTTAACTATCGCGAGAGATATTTTTCTCTAAATAATCGACTCGATAATCGCACACTCATCCGAGAATATGAATATATACAGTTCATCGACGACGCGAAATATCACATTAGTGCAGGCAGGCGTTGACAATAAGGTAACATCTCAAGTAAGTTTTATCTTTTATCATTTACCTATAGCATTTACTATATCATGAGAAAACGAAAATGTCTATGTCTGATTTTACAGTGAGAAAGATTATTATAAATAAACCGAAAAGCTTAACTGTAGCGCCCATATAGGTCGGTCAGCTTTGGTACATAATTTTTACTTCTATTTTATCACTTCTATTTTCACAGCCTCTTGTACTTTTCACAAAGTACACAACTTCTTTTACTACTATGTAGACAAAAGATACATTCCTTAGCGACAAAGCTCTTATTGGTGGCCGGGCATTTATCGGGAAAGCTTTTCATAAAAGGTTGACGCCAGTCGAAGTTTGATTTCAATTATATGCATCTCATCTGAAGATATTATTTTTATCAAAATTCTGCTGTAAGTTTTTTCCATAACTATTATCCAAGATCATCAAGACGACAATTCTTTTACATCCCCTTTTATCTCTAAACTATAAATATTGTTGATGGCAATATATGGAGAGGAATCCTTATAGAGAGGCACCATGCGCGTCAATGTTTACTCTCCGGACATTGTAAGTTTTCGTTATGTCTGGGAAAACTATATATATTATCATTTTCGAACAAGACGCTTTATATAATTTGGGGTCAAATTTTCCAATTTTACGCAACAAACAAGATGCGCGCGACAAATTCTCCAAGAATGATCGGGTTATCTTAGTTGATGTTTATGCAAACGATTTGAAAGCGTTTATGAAGGAATCTCTAGAAGCACTGAATGATAAACATCAAATTATTCAGATTCCGCAATCTTGTCCGCTTTTTCCTGCGGTGCGATGTATCCAAATGTCAAAACTACTTTCTTGTTCTATGCTAGATCTTGTTTATGAAAGAGAGACAGAAAGAGAGAGAGTAAGGGGGAGAGAGGGGGAGAGAGAGAGAGAAAGAGAGAGAGAGAGAGATTTTAAGAGATTTTAAGTAATCAATTATAGACTTAATCAGGATTTAAATTATAAATATAATTGCATCTATATATAATCTCACTCTGCTTATAACGAGAACAATTTTCCTTGCGCTTATTATGCAAGTATTGAAATTTTTACATAGCATATACCAGCGAGTATATGATCTTATAGTGAACCATTATAGCTGTTAGTTACAATGACAATGACGACGGCGACAATGATGTTGGATACGGTGTTAATGAAGATAAGGATGAGGATGAAGGATGTAGAGGGAATGTACTGTATCACCTGGCACGCGTCTCGAGAGCGTTTTGATATGCTGGTTATCTTGTACCACAACCGGGGTCGTACACTGAGTCTTTTCGACAAATTTCTTTCGACAAATCCGTGTCCCTGCAAGTCTTCAGCTTTATATACTTGGTGAATAACGGCGGACCGCATGGCTGTTCTCTTTCTATGATCGTCGTTCTATCACGAAAAGATGATCCGCGAGAAAGGCTCCTATCGTCTACTCGCGATTCGTCAAACACGAACGATCGTTTGTTTTGTGTGTGTGTGTGTGTGTGTGTATGTACAATCAGTCACAGTATGATTGCGACACTTTTTTCTCAATAAGTTTTAAACATATCTTTTGTCCAATATAAAAATATATCTCCTGCAAATGTTAAGAACGAATTTTTTTATTGGGCGCGGAATGCGTCTCGAAACTTATAAAAAATAAATGTTTAACTGTCCTGAGATTGACCGTGAATACTACGTATTATGACGAGCCTTATTTTCTAAGGAATTACCTTCACTCTCACTGCGCACCAGCATCGTACTTTTTGATAAATCGCGATTGATTATTCAACGCACGTGACTCTCGCGAGAGATATTGTTCTCTAAGTTGTCAACCCGATAATCGTAGAGTCATCCGAAAATATGAATAAATCCGGTGCCTTGGACGATGCGAAATGTCATACTGATAATTTCGAGCATGCGTAGACAATCAAGTGACGTCTTAGGTAAGTTTTATCCTTTATTATTTAGAGAACTTATAACATTTACCATATCATTGGAAAACGAAAATTTCCGTGCGTTTCTTTTTTTTTGCATTCATTTTACATACATTCAGAAAAATTATAATTATGGATAAAGCGGAAGATACAGTTGTAGTGTCCCTATTGCTCAGCTTTAATATTCAATTTTTAAGTCATTCCTATCTTCACAGCCTCTTGTATTTTTATTGAGTAAAAAACTTTTATTATCACCTTGAAGACAAAAGATATATCCCTTAGCGGCAAAGTTTTTATTGGTGGCGGGGCACTTATCGGGAAAGTTTTTCTTAAAAAAGGAGTTATAGCAAAATCTTTGGACATCATGATCAATTCAATAACACTTCCGACTCCCAAACAATATGAGAGCGCTTTAAAGTTATGGATAAATTTTATAACAAAAAATAATTTAGACATCTTTAACGCAAATACTATTTTATCGCGTTCTTGGCTGAAAGATATAAAAAAAGGTGCAAGTTGTGGTGACAGATTTATTTTATTATTTTCATACATTTTATGATAGTAATTAATAAAAGACATAAGAAGTCAAAATAAGATTTTTTAAATCTAATTTTTTTCCTCGAATTTCCGAATGGCTCCCGATTAAACTCAGATTGGACACTGACTAATCATATTATTCAAATCTAACCGAATTCGACATAGTTAAACAATCTGATTGGTCTGTGTTCAATCATAACGTGTATTCAATCCGGATGCACTGAATTTTCGCTCGGCTGAAAGCCGAGATAGCCAAATTTGCGACCAAGAGCACAAAAATCTTTTTAAACGCAAACTGTTTGTCGATTAACCTAAATTGCAAAATTTAGCCAGATCTAATGATGTTTGGATGCACTGGGTAAGGCCTATCCACGGGGACTGGTTTTTCCAATGGTTGGTATCCTGTCACGGCAGTGCCCAGTTTGAATGAAGCCCGGTACCCGTTGTCGTCTACGATGTAACTGCGGATATAAAAATTAGTATTTTTATTTTTCTGACGTTTCATTATATTTACTATACATACCGAGTGCGCGCAATATCATCAATAAAATAGCAAGGAGGCTGGATTGTCAAAAAATGACAAATAAGAAAAAAATAAAAGACAGTTATTAAAACGAGAAAGTCAAAATTTCCCTGTATTCTCCTAATATTTTATATTTAAAATTGCTATTAGAATATCAAAGGGAAGAATAGAGTTAAATTACCTGCTCTATTTTCTGCTGACGTAATTATTAATTTTTTAGTTAAAAGTTGAACGATAAATTATATAGGTAAAAATTACTATTGGAAATAACGTCGGTTAATTACCGATTAATTTAATCAAAGTTTGATGAATGTTATTTATCATTTTTTTTGCTTGCGCAAGCGAAGTTTTACGAAATCTTCATCGCAACAAAGTGTATATAAATAGTATCCTTACTAAATGGAGACAGGGATCCCTTCAGGACTTATGTAGGCGTAATGTCCATTCACCACTTGGATTAATTTGCCGTTCACGTTATTGAAGATTACGGACTCCTGCTTGTCGACGTCTCTATTGACAACGTTCGTGGAAAATGCCGGCCTTGCGACCGTACTTGGTACCCTCACGAACGGTGTAATCGAGATCAACCTTTCGGAACCGCGGGTAAATGACGGTGCATACTGACTAGGCAGCAATCTCTGGGCCGGGAAACACGCCGGGAACCACAGCAACCACCAGATCTGCAAAAGAGAAAAAGAGGGATCGTTTCACTTTATGTAGAAGAAATCATAATATAATATTGCAATACAACACAATCGAGATTTAATAAGTGAGGTGTAAAAATATTAGGAGCTTGCAAAGTTCGAGGCTTATATCTGACCATACGTGTGATTATAGGGTCCCTTGTGAAGGGACTATGGCTAGAATTTTCGCGAATTACGGGCGCTCTGTTTCGCAGCTAAGATATAATTATAACCCCCGATACACGCAAATATTGTGTCTGAGAGAGAGATTTGCATGTTCAATAATCTATTTTAGGCTCAGTCAGGCAAGCATTTAAATTATAAATATCATTGCGTCATCATAAATTTCTTACAATCTGACCCTGCTTATAACGAGCAGAATTTTCCTCATGTTCATTATACAAGCGTTGAAATTTCTACATAGGACGTACCATAGAATGTATAATCCTACGATGAACCATTGTGGCTGTCAATTGCAACGATGACAACGGCGTTGACGAGGGTGATAGTGATGTTTGATATAGTGCGGACGATAAAGATGAGGATGAAGGAAACACACTTTGCACTGTATCACCCGGTGTCTCGAGAGCGTCTCGGCTATTATAATATAATCGGAATAGTACACCGTGTCCTGTCGGCAAATTTGTATTTCTGTGGGTTCCCAGTTTTATATACCTCGTAAATGACGGCCAACCACATCGCTCTTCTCCCTCTTTGATCGTCGTTTCATCATCAAAAGGCAATCCGCGCGAATGGCTACACTGAAAATAAAGACTGATGATATTTGTGAAATGCATTTAGTTAAATATTTCGACAGAATATTTTTGTATCATTTGGTAACTATTACAAAGTTTGGTAACTGTTACAAAACTTAATATTAATTACCAAATATTTAGTTGGACTACAGTATGAATGTCTTGAAAGGTAATAATTGAAATAAACCCGCCGAAAAAAGGCGAAGTTCGACTTTAATTATTTGAAGCGTCTCGTTCAAAGACAATCATTTTACTAATCCTATTATAAATTTTTTCCATAATTATCACACAGGATCATCAAGACGAAAACTTTTCAACGTTCCCTTTTATCTCTAAACTGTATGAATGTCGAGAGCGATAGACAGAGGGAGATCCTCATAGAGAGGCGTCACGTATGTCAATTTTACTTTCTGAGTATTGTGAGATTTCAACATGACAGGGATAACTACATATCGTCGGTGAAGAGTGTTAACCTTCTAATTCCATTTTTAGGCCAAAAATGTATTTTGTATTGTTAGAATTATAAAAACAAAACTGATTCTAATAGAAAAACAGCTATATCCAATATTCATTAAAAAATGTTTATTTATGGCTTCAATAATACCTGCTATCTCCTCTTGAATGAAAGTGCGCCCGAAGAATTGCTAATGCGAGAGAAGAAAAGGAAAAAGACAAGTCAACAGAATCTTACGTTTTCATTGTAGATCTTCAGGCAGTTTTAATGGCTCCAAAATCTAATATTAGCACTTTGTATTACAAAACTAAATTGCAAGTTCACAATTTATGTTTTTATAATTTGATTAACAACGGGTTTTGCTTTTTGTGGAACGAAACGGAAGGTTCCTTGAATTCTGAAGAATTCGCTTCCATATGGATACATTTTTTAGAAGAAAAATTATTAACGGTTATGAAAAATGACCAGAAGGATAAAAAAATTATTATATACAGCGACGTGTGCGTTTATCAAAACCGAAATGCTATTGCGAAATGCTATGTCTAATGCGTTGCTAAACTTAGCTGTCATTCGGAATATTACAATTGAACAGAAATTCCTCGAAATAGGACACGCACAAATAGAAGCCGACAGCATGCATTCAGCTATAGAACGAGCTTTAAAAAATAAGATTATAAATGTTCCAGCAGATTATTTCAATATTTGTAAAACTCGAAAAAAGCTCGAAAAAAGTCTTCTGAATACAATATTTCGTATCTGGATCACAAATTCTTCAAAAATTTCTCTGATGTCATGAGTTATAGCAGTATAAGGCCCGGAAAAAAAGGCGATCTAAAAATAACGGACCACCAAGCATAAAGGTGTACATCAGAAGGAGACATTTTTTATAAATTAAGGTTTAATGAAGATTGGTCTTTTTTACCACAAAGAAAGGATAACGTAGAACACAAAGAATTTGAAAAATTGAAACAATTGCATTCAAATAGGCTTTCCATTATTGCACGTAAATTTGAAGATTTACAATCAATCAAAAAGACATTGCCAGAAGATTATCGTATTTTTTATGATAATTTACCTCGTGAATGATTTCTTCTTTTTTTTATCATATTTATTTGTTTATTTACTACTTATTGTTTCTCAAATAAAATGGATTTTATACTAAAACTAGTTTCTTTTCTTCACGACCTGCATCTTGTAAAACCTGCTAACTACAAAATCGCATCATTTAAAAAAAAAAATAAAAACTAACTCCTAACTCCTAACTCCTTTTTTCCTTAATAAAATCTCATAAAGTTAGAGCATTTAATAAATTCATATTTTTTTAGTTAAGAATAACTAAAAACTAAAAGATGATGGTCAATTTTATTTTGTGAAGTGTGTATAAAATGATTTATTCATATTTTTGACGCTCCTGTAAAGTTTTGTGAAACGGAGATAGCAGGTTAACACTCTTCACTGACGATATATTAACATCTTCGAAATAGGACGCTTCCTATAATGGAGTTTTCAAATAAACGCAACAAATAAGATGCGCGCGACGTATTCTCCAAAGATGATCGCGTTATCTTGATATTTATGCAAGAGATTCGAAAAGGTTTACGAAAAAATCTCTGCAGCACTAGATTCTGATCATCAAATTATTCAGATTCCCCAATTTTGTTCGCTCCTTTCTACAGTGCGGTGTACCTAAATGTCAAGACGAACATCTCTTACGTGAGAGGGGGAGAGAGAGAGAGAGAGAGAGAAAGAGAGAGTAAGAGAGAAGGAGAAAATGGGGGATAGCGTTGAGTTTGCTTTAAGTGGCTAGAATTTCATCTTGATTTTGCTTTTGTTATTAGAGTATCAGATAAACAACTGTTATTACCATTCAACCTGTATGCCTTAGCAAGGAGTAGTGCGTTCGTATGCGATTCAAAGGTAGCAATTATTTTTACACACAGAAGTTTCACGAGCAGCCAAACTATAGCTTTTCGTATACAGTGATAGTTTAGCGGGCTGCCACAAAGGGGCCATTCGTATAGAGACAATTTCGTGGGCGGCCACTATAGTGGCCATTCGTCGTGAAAAGATTAAAATGACTGACGTAATCCAAGATATCATCGTTCTTATGTGACCTTCTATCGGTGAAAGTGACTATTTGGAGATTTCGGTATCGTTTCATTCCTTCCCCGAGGCTATAAGTGTAAAAATAAACTTTCGGATATTTCATACTTAAGTACAATACCAAGCGATGCTACAACAAGTTTCGTTATGACACGTTTTTCTCTCTCATAGAACCATTGTGATTTCATCAAATGAGGGATATCTTAAAAATAACTATGGTATATTTTCGTCACCTAATCTAAAAAAAATACATAAAATTACATAAGACAACTAGTGATTTGGACAAATAAATAATTAAAAATTTACCGCAAGTAAATATTAGGTGTGTAAATTAATTCGGTGCCTTTTGTTAGCAAACATCAAGATTTATTTATTAATGGAATGTGTACAATTTTAATTATCGAAATAATGACGTTGTTATCAATGACTCATAACGTGTTCATTCAGAATATGTCAAGTTTTCGCCTGCCTAAAAGTCGAAATAACCGAACTTGCGACCAGTCGCACAAGAACCTCTTTTCAACGCAAATCTACTCGTGGATTAGCGAATAAATGACGAAATTAGCCGCCTCTGATGATTGGTGGATGATACGCTGGCCGTGGCGGTGGGGTTGGTTGAAACTCGCCCAGCTTGAACCCGCCCTGATTCCCGTTGCTGTCCGCGTTGTAACTGCGGATATAAAGATCAAAGCGTTTTTTATCCTTCTGACCTTTAAATGTATCTATTTTTGTATTGTATACTCATCAAGCACGTGCAATATATCACAAAAAAACAACAAGGAAACGAAGGAAACATGAATAAAATAAATACTCATCAAAATTTTTTCGCAGATGGTATAATCTTTAGACTGACTATCACCAAACTCTAATTAGTCTAATCGACGATTAATTCAGCCGGTAGGATTATCAAAAATAATAACAAGTAAAAAGAGAAAAATAAAAAACTGTTATTAAAACGAAAAAGGGAATTCTGCTGTTCTCTCCTTATATTTTATATTTAAAATTGCTATCACAATATCAAAAGCAAAGGACACAGTTAAATTATCTGCTCTATTCTCTATTAGCATAATTATTAATTTTTTATTTACAGTTTTATAATAAATTATACAGGTGAAAATTGTTTGCGGTTCTATTGGCTGATTGTCAATTAATTTAATCAGAGTTTAGTGAATACCACCTATGTCGTCTGTTTTCGTATACGCGAGTGAAGTAAGATTTTCACGGAACGAAACTTCTTCATCGCATCAAAGTGTATACAAAATGTATTCTTACTGAACGAAGATGGAGATTCCTTCGGGACTTTTGTAAGAGAAATATCCCGTTACAATTCTGACTAATTTGCCATCTATGTCCGAGATGGTGGGGTATTCCTTCCATTCCACGTCATTGTTGACGTTCGTCGAGATTGTCGGATTCGCGATCGTACGTGGTCCACGTTTGAACAGCAGAACCGGAATCAAATCTTTCTCTGGACTGGGGACGGACAATGACTTTTGCTGATTGAGCGGCAGTTTCTCGGCCGGGAAACATGTCGCAAACGACAGCAAACACCAGATCTGTAAAAGAGAGAAGGAAAGAGTCCCAGTTTATATTAGGTTGGTGCATATGAAATGTCGGATTCTTAAGTGATTGTATAAAACTGTATATCTTTCTTCAAAAGCTGTTTATTCAATCAAAGTATGCTCCATTCGCTTCAATACACTTCTCCCAACGAGATTTTAAAGCGTAGATGCCTGTCTTAAAAAAATTTTGGTCTTTAGAATTAATAAACTCTGATATCGAGTTTTTTAGACTGTCTTCATTTTCATGGTGTTTGCCTCTTAAAAACAGCTCTAAATGCTTGAAAAAATGAAAATCGGTCGGCGAGAGATCCGGTGAATATGGTGGATGCTGCAAAACTTCATATTCCAGTTCGTTCAGTTTCGCAATTGTTTTGTGCGATGTGTGCGGCCGAGCGTTGTCATGGAGCAGTAGCGGGCCATGCCGATTCACAAGCGATGGGAGTACAATTTGGTGTCTCAATATCGTTGTATGGTCAACTTTCATCCTGATAGCAAGTTCCCTCGTGGATACGGCTGGATCCGCTTCCACTAGAGCCTTCAGGTCATCATTATTCACAGACGTTTTGGGTCTTCCGCGCGGCTCATTTTGCAGTGAAAAATCGCCAGTCCGAAATTTTTCGAACCAACGCTGCACTTTCCGATTGTTAACCGTATTCTCCCCAAACGCTTGGTTTATGTTGCGTGCAGCTTTTGCAGCACTATTACCAAGTTTGTACTCATATAAGAAAATGACGCGAATGTCGGCAGAATTCATATCGGTAATAAACTCAAAAGAAATAAAAAAGGGAAGACCTTCGAGAAAACCTATTTTGTTGAAATGAGTCTCTGGCAATGGACAATACGAGTATGAATGAGGTTATGCCAAATACAAAAGTATAACGAAAACAGGGAGGAAAACGTCCGCATGTAAAGAGAATGCGACATTTCATACGCACCAACCTAATATTATCATAGAAAAGAGATTGCAATATAATATTGCACACAATCAAAATTAATAATTAAGACGTAAAAGTGTATTAGGAGTCAACCAATATATAAAAAAAGTATATTAAGAAATCAACAGAACATTAACAATAAAAAAGAAAAAAATTTACGCTGATTTGAAAAAAAAATACCATATGCGATGCTTCGGCTATAAACTGTTTCTTACATCCGACTAATGTGAAATGCAAGCAAATTATATTATAAAGAGGAATATTCTCTTTTATTCATTAAGGGGATATCCTGGAGTTCACCTGCTTTAAATTTATTAGTACTAAACTCATTATTGGTTGTACAAAATTCTTTCGCACAATTACAATATACACGTTAATGTGAGGCGAGGACGGTTGACTTTATGTGAAAAATGAATAAAAGTTTTATAATTCGGTAATATTTTTCGCTTTTCGAATAAAGTCAACCGTCCTCGCCTACCTTAACGTGTATATGTTGTAATTGTGCATAAGGATTTTTAATTCAGCGCAATCAGTAATGAATATAGCGCTAACAAATTTATGGTAAAACAGAACGACTTCATTCGTTCGAAATTTCTATATAGGACGTACCAGCGAATAAATGATCTCACGATGAACCATCGTGGCTGTGAGTTACGACAACGTCAATGATGATGACGATGAAGATGTGGATGAAGAGAACACTTCGCACTCTGTATCACTCGGCTGTATCATCCGTCTAGAGAACGCCTCGATGTCGTTGCCATTACTGGGACCGTATATGGAGGTGCGTCGGCGAATTTATACTCCTGCGGGTTCCCAGCTTTATATACTTGGCGAATGACGACAAATCATACCGCTCTTCTCCCTCTCTGATCGTTGTCCGTGAAAGGACTATCGGCGCGAATGGCTATTATTGCCTACTTGCAACTCGCCAAACGCGAATGATTATTTGTTTTGTGCGTCGTGCGAGTATGTATACGTGTATGCTTTAACCAGCCTTTTAATATTGTTCCCGAAATCGTCGATCCAACAATCGCCGAGTCACCCCAAAATATGGATGAATATGGTTCACCGACAACGCGAGATGTCACACCTTCGAGTACACGTCGGCAATGAGGTGACATTTCAGGTAAGTTTTATCCTTTATCATTTATTTATAGAATTTACTATATCATGGAAAAACGGATATTTCTATATCTTTCATCTTTTCGCGTTAATTTTATAAATATTGAGAAGGATAATTATAGAAGCAGAAGACTCAATTGTAATGCCCCTTGTGAGTCGGCTAACTTTGGTTCTGAATTTTCGAGCCACTCCTATCCTTACAGCTTCTTGTATTTCTAACAAGTAAAAAAAGTTTTATTATCACCTTGTAAACAAAAAATACATTCTTTAGCGACAAGCTTTCATTGGTGGCTAAATACTTATCAAAAAGAATTCTTGGACATCACGGTCAATTCAATAACACTTTCGATTCTTAAACAATATATAAGGGTCTTGATATGTACGATAAATTCTATAAAGATGAACGTGTTACTTTGGTTGATGTTCATGCAAGCAATTCGAAAGCATTTAAAACTCTTATATATACGCTATCCTTGTTTGATGACGTCAAAAGCGAGAAAACGTACACTAAGAATTTTTGCGAGATATGTTAAATATGTTGCGAGATTTGCGAAATATGTAAAAAAATCTAATAATATAACATTTATGATGACATCTTGGTTTCCTCGCTTCTTACGTCATCAAGCAAGGACAGTTACAGCGAATATACAAGAACTTAAAAAAAAGAATGTCTAGGAGTGCCAAACGCTGGTCTTCGATTTATTAAGATTACACAATTTTATTCTTTTCTTCCTACGGCGTGATGTACGCAAATGTCAGTAATATATATACTCTCATATCTCCCAATTTGTCGTTACTATCGCCAAGCACTATCTCATTAATCACCCTTTGCACATTTTTAATATTAATATTATTTCATTTGCCTAATTATATTTTTTCACCATTATTTGCCCGAAAGACTTCAACGGTATCGTGTTATCACGTTTATTCAGACTTCTCGCTCTTTTTGCCAATTAATAATGATCCCTCGTATTAATTTAATTAAACGAATGCCGGTTATGGTTTATCGTACAGTTATCGGTTTACAGGGAGTTCGCTGCTTATGTACGATCAATATACAAAATGTGTCAGCTCTAATCACAGACGCGATGCTCGCACGTTGCACGCATGTTCCCATGCGCGCTATTGCTCGTTTCATTCACAAACCCCTTCATATGGTCAGGATGGTTCAGTTAAAAATAACGAACGCGGCGATTATTAGATCACTCATAAAGGGATCGTAGCCAGAAGTAGCTTCAGGTGTTCAATCTTGAAATTAATATCTTTATTTGTTTATTTATATATTTTTATTTAGAAATATTAGAAGTGACGGGTCCACAGAATTATTAGACCCGTTATTTCTGAAATTTAGTTCCAGACTCTCCGCTACGAGCCGCTACTATATTTAACGAGAAACTGAGGTCGTGATATATTACATCATTTCCCCCCGGCGGGGCTACTTCTGCAGTTCGATTCAATATATAAACACGAAATACCGAATTCTTTCATTTTACGTCGAGTGCAATCTCAGTCCAACGAGCCTGCCAGAAGGCACAAAAACCGAGGCGATATCTGCGATTGTCTGTTTTCAGATATAGCTGCATTTTGCAACAATACAGTCTCATGGTCCAATTAAGTAACAATTATCTTTCTTGAACCTTTAGTTGTTGTTTAAACCAAAAATACTAAGCAACTAAAAGATAATATAAAAGAAATATGTAATAATCCGTAACTTATAGAAATATGTACTTACCGTAACTTATCCCGTTCAGAGACATGCTATCATGACATCCAATAACAAAGATATACTATTGTCAATTATTTTTTGTATCCACTATTCTCTTCTTCCCATCGCAATGTTCATTTATGATGCTTTTTATTATTAAAATTTGATATCATATGACGGCTAACACAAGAAAAAATAGAATATTCCGGAATAAATTCACTTACCTTAAATAACGATGTTAGGTATTGAATAACCGTTGATTTCTTAAATAAATACTGGGATCATGTGAGACCTAGTAACGGGAAAGCTCAAAGGGGTCGTTATAACGGCGAATAAATCACTGGCGATGCGTCAAGTATCGGCAGGTCAGTTAATGTAACAGAGAAGTGCATCTTGCGTCGTAAATCTGGGACAGACTCGGTTCTCGGTAAGGAGACGCGCCACTATCACATTCCCAATATAGACTAACATAATCCAGTCGATGGCTATTCCGTCATTTCGTATTTGCCTCTTCGTCGGCGAAAAGACACATGCGGGAGAAAAGTGTCGGAGAGTAGCGAACCCGCGCAACTTTGTCTCGCGATTATTTTCTCACGCGACAAAAGTCGGTCTATAAATTAAAATTCATCACTCTGTTGACAATTTCTAATTAGATTCCCACGGAAACCCAAAGGAACTTATGTGAATCCGTATAGAATATTAAAAATCCATACAGAGATTCATACGATGTGTGAAAATCCATACAGGAATTCACACGATGTGTGAAAATATAGGAATCCATATGAATTGTTTTGACGCAAAATCCTAAGAGTAACCGTGGGTACTATATGGATTCTCATTTAGTTATTTTTTTCAACATAATAGTTTCCCGAGCAGCACAAATTGGTTGGCTAACCGCCCGGGAAAAAAAGATCATATATGAAATTTACCCATATATGACCATATATAATCATATATGTCCACGACAAAATAATATTGCTGTTTACAAGTTATATGCAGATACAATCGAAGTAAATGCTTCTAACAGCATATGATATCGACATTTAATTAAATGACATAACATTTTTTTCATATAATAATACATAATCATTTTTTCCCGGGCGTTGTCCAATGTTTGGTCAACAATGAGCAATGGTTAGCTAATTTCGGCTGCTCCAGAAATTACCCTTAACTCTCTGGTCATTACGTATACAACGTAAATCTGTTTGCGACAAAACGAGCATGATTTAATAATTACGTCATATTAACACAATTATTTGTCGACTGATGAATGAAGACGTTCGTCACGTATAAGAACTACTTGCAAAACATAAATTCTCGATGTTTCGCAATTGCATACGTAGAATTCCTATTCGAGATTCCTTCCTCAAACCAAAATTGTGAATGACATTTCTCGAGATACTCCACTTTTCCGTATTGGTAGAAAACTATTAATATTAATATTATTCAACAGCAAATGATATTAATCAGTGATTTAATGACCATTAATTACTATTAAATCATTGAAACTTTGATGAATAGCGGATTGTAGACATTTCGAATTAATAAAAGCCGTCTCGTGGACTCGAGAAATAAGTCGCTTTGTATAATGTAGATACTCTGCGGCCATATTGTGATGAATCATTATACGGCGAGGCATGGCGATGTGAATTTTTATCGCTCATTCGCTCGGTTCGCCAAATTTATCGGCAATCTTGATTTATTACTTAGTGTTATTTGGAAAGGAAACCGGAATTCCTCGAGTATTGAGAGTCGATGAAAGAGAAGAAGGTAGCGGTAGTGGTGGGAAACGGTTCGGCCTCCGAGGACAGTTAAACTCGCGAAGGGCGCGTGAATTTTTCACATATATATCTTACAAATTTGTAAATACTGCTTCGTTTCGCTTCGCAAATTCGCCTCGCTCATTCACAAATTTATCCCTGCGGGTGTAGATCGCTAGAATCCTGATTTAGCGCATACTTCGCGCATCCGTCCTCGCGGGCCTGCCGCCTGATAACGGGACACTTCATTCTTCATTCGCTCGTTTCCTCTCTTGTCTTCCTTTTTTTTTTTAACAAGACATTTAATATTCGTTTAATATCTGTAAGCTCAGCAGAGTCAACATTTTGCGTGGGAACAGACGTTAAGAGGTTCTCGTGTGTAGGTATGCGCGCGTTTACAGATCCTTCTTTTCGTTTCGCGCTGTGCTGCGCTGCGCAAATCGCGCGCTCAATCGGCTCTTCGCACGGCACGCGAAATGTACGGATATCTGGGATCCTCCGGAGGATCGTCAACACAAGCTGAAGAGAGCACGTTGTCGGGGAAAAAAAACAAAAAAAAAAAAGATAGGAAAAATAAAGAGCATGCCCTTATTTCTCGCGTACGCTTTTCACTACTTTCTATACGAGGCTGAGAACGAATATCATCGATATTTCTATCATTTTCTTTTTAAAAAGTCGCATATTGTTTCCGCAAGCGATTCGAAAATAAAGAGAGATCGACGATCGAACAGTTTTAGTTGCTTTGCGAAGTGTGCGCACCTCGATACGCTTCGTCGGTTGCGCCATACAAATTTTGCGTGCAACCAGGAAGATTTCCATACGATTTGCCGGTAATTTATGATCAAAAGAGGCGTTTCGATCACTGCTAGAGTTAACCTCTCCCGCTGATTCTCAATTACTTGATGATAAGAATCATCCGTTTAAAGATCGCCGACTGCGGAAGCGAGGAGGCACCGAGATCTCTAAACTCGAGCGGCCGTTTAATTAGGAAAATAGTCTCTGCGACAAACCGTCCAAACAATCCGGTTCTCTCTCTTTTTTTCCATCTCTTTGCCCCCTCTGTCTTCTCGGTAGCTCGTCGCATACTTCGCCGATCGATCAGCGTGAGCTGAGGTATGTCGAGACGATGTTAGAAACCAGACGCTTCCGCGGCCAATTGGAGTTGTTCGCGGCTTGAAATCGCGAGTCTGATTTGCGACGGATATTTTTATAGTCTACCTCATTATCCGCCGCACGAGACGACCGGGCTCGCTCTGATCGATCGTGGAATTCTCATTAACGCAGGTACAATACGAGAATCATGAGCGTCGTGAGAAAAACGCAAGAGGTCTAATTAAAATCGTGAACACAATCGCTTCTCGGTGAAATAAAATAATCGCTCGGTCTCACCGCGTCGGTGGGTGAGAAGCGGCTCTCGATCGTCGCTAAAAGACTCCATCGTGTGAATATGTTTTTGAAATTGTATCATCAATATATTAAAATAAATAATAAAAATATGAATACTTGTAAAATAGATGAAATTCTCGTTTGAGATCACGAGCTTCAAATTCGGGATTTGCGAAAATCTCACGAATAGTTCGCGATTCTGCGAGTAATTGCTTTGAAATAAAGGACCAGCTTAATTTTTCGAATTGTTTCGGATATACAAAAATCTTGTAAAAACCTTATAAATTACAACTTGATTTACTGGTTCGATTCTTAACATAAATTGCACACAGAACGTATTTCGATACGCGGCATAAAATCAAAGCTCGCTTTGAAAAAATAATTTCATTCTCATGAAATTCTTCAATCACGTTCTTCATCAAAGTTCCCGTGAAAAATTCTCGTGGCGCCCATGACGATGATAAATAACAAAATGCACCCGAGTGTTCGATAGAATATGACGACGATCGAATCCTCGGCGTGTTCAAAGACGCAGTTCTGTTCACCGTGATTGACTGTCGATGTAAGAGAAGAGTTAACTCTCTCGATGATAGAGTAAGGAGGGCCAATTGGAGCGTGAACGTAGTTATAGACGCAGAAACACACAAGAGAACTTTAAATATCGTCGGGGACAGGCATCGACGAGAGAACGCTGGATGTTCAATTTAATTTGTTTCCAATCTATCTCTCATTTAACCCCGTTCTAATCGGCCCTCCTCAGTTTTTTCCCGCGATTTTGCGTGATATAGCCTTTTCTACGTAATAACTCTCTCGAATTCGCCATTAAAATCGCAATAAAATCGCAAATCGAGCGCCTCGAGTGGGTTTTTGAACAAAAATATCTCGCGCTCTCCGTTCGGTGTTAATTTCGTGTTCCGGCTCCGTGTTTGATGAAATTAAAGGCTAACTTACCGATTCGAGGCGCGACCAATGGTTAGCCTCAACGACACCCTGAAAGAGACGTGTTCGGGATTCTCGGGATCGAATTTATTGGAACAGCGTCGCTTCTTTAAAAAACGTAAAAAAGCGCAATTTGTACCCGCGCGGAAACAACCCTCTTTTCAGCGAGTTCCGTGGGTAAAATTAGGAACGCCATCAACGAACTGCCTCATCAGCCTCGTCCGGAAAGTTCATTCATCCGCCTATTCGACACAAGACTTTCACTTTTCTACCGTGCGCCACTCTCGTCTCGCGAATCACTCGGAGGAGATATTTCGTAAAAACTCTAAAATATATCACGTTGAAGTCAGCTTTTCAAACCAAGTTCTTCTCGCGCATGAAACGACAGAGAGGGAGAAAGGGAGAGAAGAACAATTTTACCCACGGAAGCCCACGCAACCGCTCTTTCAACCGCGAATAATTCGGTAACCAAACGGCAGCTGCCGTCTCACGGGCGCAGTGGTAAAAACGAAAACGATAAGGGTCTGTTTGCAAATTCAAATTCGTATGGATATAATAAACCGGGAAAATCGACGAAAGAATTCGTAACTGTAAGGGAACGCGATGGATCCGATACACTCCGCGTAAACAACGACGTTTAACGTGTTGAATACCACTCGCAGTGCGTCAAAGAAAGAGCGATCGAGGCCGCCTCCTCGTGTTTGCCCCCCTCCCCCTCCTCCGGGAATGGCGGCGGTGTTTGCGTCTGCTGCTCGCACCGAGATCTAACGGACGAAGAATAGCGTCCCCCGCGAAACTTTACATGCCTTGTCGCGCATTTTGCTTTCCAATAGTCGTTTCATTCATCATTCCTCCCTCCCTCTCCCTCTCTCTCTCTCTCTCTCGTTTTCTCTATCTCTTTCTCGCACATTCGCACATTTTCACACGCATTCTCTCTCTCACTCTCGCTCTCTTTCTCTCCCTCTCTCTCGCTCTTTCGCGCTCTACGCGCTCGCGCACACGATGCATCCTCGAAATCACGATATCCTGACGATAATTAACCACGATAGTAAAAGCATATAAGCTATACAGCTACCATTCTGTATCTACAATGTAGTTTTTTTATGTATAATATATATATATAATATATATATATTTCTCTGTTTCTCTCTCTCTTCGCTTTTTTTCCTGGTCTCTCTCTTCCTTCCGCGTTCCACAAACGCGTCACAATCTCGAGACGCGGTTCAATGTCCGTTCGCGCACTGACGTACCCCACGTGTTTCATCACGTGGACCCCGAAATCCTGTCCCTCGCCTGGAAGCCGGAGGGTATCCTGCTGAGAGTGCAATCTTCCTCGGCAAGAAGGTCAGCAACCTCCCACCAGAGATCATTCTTCGCTCGTGTCATTTCTCGCTTTGCACTTCTCTCGTCAACGTATTGCTGATGCCTCGCGTTCAGAAATAGCCTTCTCGTTTTTCCCGAAATATCTCGCCTAGCTCATTCATGATGAGACTTCTTCACGATTAGAAGACATGAACTGTCTTTTTTCTGAAGTCTCAAGAATAAGCTCGTGTTTTTCGGAGACCCGACGGCATCTCTTCATGGCTGAAAGCTCTCTTCATTTCTGACGTCACTTTCCAGGTCCTTTCCTAGATATGATCTCGAAGCGAGAGAATGAAGACGTTTTCCCCTCTTCGAAAAGTCATCTCCCGGATTCATTCTTCAGGTTCCAAGCGATCCAATGCCGCCGTCGTCACTTTCCTCGTGCCCGGAACGTTCATCAGCATCCTCTTCGAGACAATTCTGTCGCCCGAGAGTCCTGTTGCTTCGTCTGCTTTGACGTCTCGACCCGCACTCCGCGACGCTTCGAGCTGCCCAGCGGCGACTCTTCGGGTCAGTTCTCGAGGCTTTCTCCGAAGAAGTCGCGCCATGTCATTCCTGAAGTCACGCTCCCGACAGGGCAGAGAAGGGTCCCGTCTCGCGCACGTCCCCGCCGCCTCCGCCGCGCGGTCATTACTGCAACACGCAGCACTTGCACTTAGGCTTCTTCTTCAAGGTGACGTGCTCGACCTGCGACGCGTCACCCGGGCCCTGCGCTGTCATCCTCGCGACCTCCACGGTCGCGGTCCTTGCCGCGCCGACCTAAAACATCGACGTGCACATTCCAGTTACGAATGTGTGGAGAAATACCGTGCAATAAAATGAAGAAATAACATAATTATAGCGATTATGTTTTTGCACTAAAAGAGACGTCTCTTAAAGACTGCAACGCGAAATTATCTGGATGTAAGAGTGCAAAAAAACAGCTTAAAAGTGAATTCACGGTTCTTTACCTTATGAACATTATATCGTCAGAGCCATGGTTTCTTTCGATTTTTTTTTGAATACTTTGTTTTGTCTTCAAAGAAGCTAGTTATTGAATATTATTTCTTGTGATCGATTCTTTTTTTAAAAAAGTTCAAATCTCTCGAGTAAGAAAAAAATGAGAAAAGTGAGTTTTTTAGATAAAGTGAAGTGCTTTAAGGATCGCTTCCATGCCTGGGGAGTCGTCCTTAGATGGGGGAAAGGAGGTAACTAAGTAGACGTCTTTAACAACGCTAAACTGTATCCCGTACAGATCTTTCAATTTTGCGTCGAAGATTGAAGGATATTCCGGCTATCGTTTGACGATCTCGTCCAATTTCATTGCTCACCTTTTCATTGACGGGCTGATTGCTGGCATTAGCCTTCGCAGGGGTGCTGTGAGCGTTGCCGTTTTCCTGGCCGGGCCTCGGCGACGAGTTGGCATGGCAATTCGCGGACTTGAGGAGCGGGCTGGTACTCGAAGGATCGTGCTCGCCGCCGGCCGTTTTGCTGCTGGCCTCGCATCCTGGTAACGGCGGCGCGTTTTGACCCGGGGTCGGCGTGATCGGCTTCCCGCCCTTTATCAGCTCCACGATCTCATCAGCTTCTCTGGAGAGGTCGCCGTCCGGCCTGAACGGGTTGTCCCAGCCGCTGTCCGTGCTGAAATCAGAAGAATACAGCTTCCGCGTTCGGTACAATGCAATTAAAGGGATCGCTGTAATTTTGCGCGAGTTGTTTGTATTGTTAAAGTACAGTTTGAGCGGACATCGGGGATCTGTGTCGTTACGTTTATGTGTACAATTTCCTACATATAAGTTTAGATACGATTTCGTCCACTCGTACTTTTAGTTGTTCTTCATTTATTTAATTCATCTTAGAATTACGAATTTTTGGGTTTACTCTGTGTATGTGTGAAAAATCACGTTAAGGGTAATTGGTGGCACGATGCCGGTTGATTGGCCGGACGAAGAAAGACGGATTTGCGGGAGGAGAGCCAAGGTAGGGTTTCCTTCCCCAACTCGTTCTCCTCGAGCCTCTAATTAAATTCCAATTCACGGATTGCTAATCGCGGGCGCACGCATGGCTCGCGTTCAGCACGAGGAGCCGACGTCGCAGCGGTGCTCTCGAGATGCGCTATAGATAACAAAGTCGCAACGAGCGCGAGCGAGACTTTGCGCCTAGCAAGTAATTATGCAATTACCTTGAGGAACGTGGAAGGAACATACACTTGCGACAGACCTAAAAAAAGGTTTTACGCAGCATGCGATTGCAAATGAAGATGTTTACGATCTTTGCACGATATCCAGGTAGTAACGAAACTTCGATACTGAGTGCTTCGATGCTTTGAACACGACCGCTTTGAGAACGTCGATTTTATATGGGAAGGAAAAGTGATAGAATGTCGTCGATTTTATAAAAGTGATAGAATGTCTGATACAAAGGACGATCATTGAAATGGGCCGTTTTGGTCTCCGGAATGGTAACTAAAAATATATATTCTCTCTCGATATATTCTTTTATAGTTTTTGAGCTGCTAAATCTGATTTTGACTTTTAAAAAATTTTAATTTGTCGAAGAAATATTAAAATCAGCATATAAAGCTATTAAATATCTAGTATCGTTATTATTATTCAGCTTTACGAACGTATTTTCCTGCTAGTAAAACATAATAATCTCTTTCATCTCTAATATTTCATATTCTGATCAGCCCACGTGTATTCTATACGATTCTATACTACAGTGGAACCTCTTTATAGTTACACCCACGCGAGACCGACATGTGACTATTTATTTTTTTCTCAATATTTTGTTTTTCATTTTTTATATATATTCTTCTATGTATATATACTAATATATAGATATAATCTATATAATATATAGATTTAACCTATTTTATCCATTGTTCTTTATTAATATTTATTACTAAGAAACGAAGCTGAAAATTAAAATTTTTATCCGTCCAAAATTAAATAAATAATTATTGTTATATCGAACTGTATGTAATCAAAGCCATAATTGCGACACTCTTTTATTTTCGCATTTTAATATTTTCATATGTTTCATTAATTTTGAAAACTTAAAAATTCGTTTCATTAATTATGAAATTGTGTAAATTATTATAGACTGTTAAAGAAAATCGAGTTGCCACTTCTCGACATCCAAGTCAAAATTGACCGAACGTGACGCTTCACTTCCGCGACACATTTTAACAAGGACGCCCCTCAGCGCTTTGATACAACACACGTAATAATTACTTGCATTAACTATCATCGATTCGCCATCGCGGCGGTCTTCTCCGTCTCGAGAGCCTGAAAGTTATCGTATTCACTTCCCCTGAGAAATTTAAACGAGCCGAGATGTAAACGCGACGTCTCGAACGGTCGGTCGTAGGCGGCGAGTGTCACGTTGGAGTAAATTATGCTCAATTGCTATCGCCGCGCCCGGACGACCATGACATTAGCTTCGGCATTGTGCCGCGCGCTTAATTGCGCCACGGTGCAATATTGGACGATGGCCGGGCGTCGAGTACAGCAGCAGAAGCGGGAACACGTGCGCGTCGTCGCTCGCGTATTTTGTACGTGTGCTGCGAACTTCCGGTCGATTTGCACGGTACTTCCTGGTCGCGACGGCAAATTTAATGAGCGCTTTTCAGGGCCGCCGGCAACGCGCTGGGACTCGCCCACAAACTAAATCGGTCGAAAGTTCGAGATACACGCGATGCGCGTTGTTGCAAAACTTATGCATCGCGATTCGAGCGTTCGAAAGCTCGCGCCCGGTGGGGGCTCTAGCATTATCGTGGCATTTACATCGACAAAAAGTGGGCGGTGTGGTGTTATTAACGTCCGTATGATGCGATCAAATCGCCAGCGAGCAATTTCGAGGCGTACGATAACGGTTTCGAAACCGATAGGAGTAATTGCCGGCGCGAGTAATGAGTAAATGAACCGCTAGTAATTGCGTTGACGTTTAAAAGAAATGGAAGCACGTTCGAGCTGCGGAGTAAGTCAGACCGCGAAACTGACGCGGCGATGCAGAATATATATTTCGACGAAATTCCACATATATATATATATATATATATATGTATATACGTTGTGTGAGAAATATATGTATATTGCAGGGAAAATAATTAAATTGGATTCTTTTCAAATTATCAGTGCCGAAAATTACCGAGTTATCGGATATCCGGATTCATCTAATGAGTACCAAATTGCCGAAGGTTTTACACTTACATAGAATCTCTCCAGAAATTTAATAGAATTATCAAATGAAACGTTCACAAGTCAAAATTTGATCAGACTAAATCAAAGCGTATAAAATTTTGCTCTATCCAAAATTACATAAAGATAATTATAATTATACACAGAAAAAAGTGCTCAATTCAAACAAATCATTGTTCTAATACTCCTCAGTAAATTTTTTTTGATCAAATAATATGTCCTTGATTTAAGTAAAATATTGTTCAAGTAAATTATCTAAATAAAATATATTTACCTTAACCAAGTGAAATTTATTTAATTCAAGTACAAATTTGCTAAACAGTATTGGAGTAAATATTTATTTGAATCTATTTTCTTTCAGTGTTCAAACTGCAATTGCCGATAAAACGAAGTTAAAATTGACCAAACGTGACATTTTGTCATTGAATTGTCGCGTTATATAAGGAATTCATTTCTGTTGCTTTCTACGATATAACCACGAATTATCGCGCAATGCAGAACCTGTCCCAATACGTCGACAGACAAGTTTACTGCTTATCAAATCAATAGAATTATTATCTGATCTCGATGAAACGGAAGCAGTGAATCCAATTAAAATTACCAAGCGCATATTAATTCGATACGTCTCTAATTATCAGCGCACGAGTACACTCATACGCGGAAAACTGCATTGTGAGATTGAACTCGGTAACATTTGACAGTTCATTTCCTGTGATATCGGTGATCTAATGTATATTCCTTACAATCGAATCGCAACGTAATGCAATCGTCGGTTCGAAAGGTTAATCGTAGCTGGTCGGGAAATGGAAACCGATCCTGATTTCCAGTAAGATGACAGATCGTAATCGGTGCGATTTCCTTTTCGCTCGGACGAGGTTTTACGCGATTATTCGGGTCAGATAATTTCGTCAACGACCCGAGACGCGGCACAGATTCTTTCAAATTTCGACTTCGCGTCGGCTCTTTCTTTTTTATTTACTTTTTTCTTATTTATCTTTTCTTCCTTTTCTTATTTCTGATTTATCTTTTTAACTGAACGTTAATTACGATAACATTTCTTTATTATACAGATAATAGCAAAATTCGCGTCCAATATAAATAAAAAAATTCTCGATCATCTGAAACGTCGTACAATTCACGACTTGGCTTGTGCTCAGCTCTTAATTTCTTTATCGCTCAA